TTTCAGTAATAAGAGTGATGAGTAAGCAGATATATGAGTTGAAATTACTCACAGAATTGAAATCAATTTATTCTGTTTTTCACATTTTCTATTTAAAGCTCTATAAGCAATGCTCTGAGACAGAGCTGTCTCAGCTAAATAGTATTGAGATTAAGAATGATACTGAATATCTTGTGAAGAAAATATTGAATAAGTAAATATATTACAGCAAGCTTCAATATCTTATTAAATGAGAAGATTATTTATTATCAGAGAATTCATGAAAATCACTTGAGCATTTGAAAAATACTGAGAAAGAGATTGTAATCTATGAGATGATTAGTAAAGATTACTCTGTTACATATTAAAGATATTAAATAAGAAATACTACTTAAGACTTCTTATTTTTCTTAAAGAATTTTTTAGAGATAATCTTATAGTGATAAGCTGATATCTTATAGACTCTGTAGTACTCTTCTTCTATTTTCTCTCAAAGAGTTTTTAGAAGTTTAATAAGACTACACAAGTGTAACATTTCTGAAACAGTTAAAAGAAAAGAGATATTTGAAATCAATAAAAAGATTAATATTATTAACTCATAGATCACTACTATTCTAATAAAGCTGCAGCTCACTGAAAAAGTAAAAAGAGAAATCAGAGTCTACTTACTAATAATCACATCTTCATTAAACTCATTCTTCACTGTTAAAGTCTTCAGTACTGATATCTTTGTCTGCTGAGAAGTTAGTACTGCAGCACTGTAGAGAAGTATGCTGTAGAAGAGTATAAGAGATACTGAAAGTATTAATTTATCAATTTATAAAGCATCTCAGTCATCTGCTTCAACTGAAGTGAGATTCTCTTTAATCAGTGATTAATCTCTGTAATACTTTCAATAACAGCACTGACTAATCTCTTCTTAAGATCAGTTATTCTGAGATGTTTTTTCATCTCAGAGACTCATGCTTTTATCTTCTTTTATAGATAAGTAAGAGAAATCTCTTCAGTTTTAATAGAATCTATTAATACTTAAAGCTCTGAGACTCTCACTCTGTACTACTTAAGCATCTAGACTTCTTATCAGAGCTGACATGACATCTTTCTGTGAGATAATACTTACAGAGAGATAGAAGTCATTGTTATAGATATAACAGAAATAATGAGAGTGAGAGAAGAGACAGATATATAAAATTCTCTCTTTCTTCAGCTGCTTAATGCAGTGCAGACAAGTAGTAATACTGATCAGAGACTGTATCAGAGCCTTCTCACAGAGAGAAGATAAAGAAACTGCAGAATTCTGCAGACTTAATTTAGCAGTATTCTGAGCAGGGCTCAGATATGCTGTAGAAGAAGAACTACAGATTAAGCTTCTCAGAGTCACTGTTCTCAGAATCAAGCTCTTTTCAGATTTCTCTCTGAATGATCACACAGGGTCATACATCACTGTATTGACTGAGAGAAGGAGTAGTATTACAACAGCAGTGAGAGAGGCAGAGAACAGACTGAACACAGATGAACTGACTGGCAGAGAGAATGACATCTCACTGCAAGGCACAGTGACTACTACTACAGCTGTAAGAGAAGCAGAAGAAGAAGGTGTGACAATGAGAGCAGTGCTTTCATAACTCATTGACATCATCATCTCTGTCTTCAACCTGGCTTTCTTGACAGTCACGGAGACCACTGCCACATCATGAAGACATTTACTCACTAGAAAATGTCAGAATAAGCCCTTTATTATTCTTTAAGAATGATACTCTCATGCACTCACTATTACAATTGAGAGAAGAGAAAGAAAAATATTTCATAGAGAGAGAGAATCTTTTTAAAAAATCCTATTACTACTGTTAGCTTTGTCTCTAAAATACATCACTTTTACAGAGAATTTCATATATAAGATGAAATATAATAAGAGATCTGTAAGTCACTTATTAACTATGTTTTTCACATTTTAAATTGATATATAAGAAACTCATTTATCACATGTTTAGTTTGAATAAAGATGAATAAAGAAAGATCTATATAGTCAGCAGAAAAACTCATCTATTTCTTTATACTATATACAGCATATATACTGTTAATCAGTTGATAACTGTTACTATATAATAAAGATAATTTCTAATTCAGTAATCTTGAGAATATAGAGACTATACTCTTAAAGAGAAGAGTATTATTATACTCTCAGTTATATTAAGACTCTATTACAGTTTCACACAGTCTATCACTTTTATATAGATGATTTCATTCTATTTAAATTAGTTTTCAATTACTCTATAATATTATTTAAATATATTATAGAAAGATCTGATTAATGAATATAAGAACTCTACTTCTATATAAGATTAGTAGATTACTTTTTCTTAATAGTGAGATACTGCTAAGATATCACTTCAGCTATTCTCACTTATAAAATGAGAGAAGATATCTACTCATTATCTATATAGAATAACTAGATACTGGCTTCTTATAAAAGAAGTCAGTAATTCATTTTTCTTCTATTGAAATATATATAAGAGTTACTGCATATCTTATACAATTTTCTTAGTATACTAAGTATCATATCTATGATATTCTCATAATAACTCTGTAGCTTACAAGCTCACTATTTAAGCAAGATAGTTAAGCTCACTTATATAGCTTTTTAAACAACTATTTCTATATAATATCACTGACTAGTCATCACTTCAGTTTTATTATATTATATAAAGTCTCTGATACTGATATCTTTATCTGCTGAGAAGTTAGTACTGTGATACTACAGAGAAGCATGCTATAGAAGAGTATAAGAAATACTTAAAGTATTAACTTATTAATTTATAAAGTATCTCAGTTATCTATTTCAATTAAAGTGAGATTCTCTTTAATCAGTGATTAATCTCTGTGACACTTTTAATAATAGTACTGACTGACTCTTTCTTGAGATCAGTTATTCTGAGATGTTTTTTCATCTTAAAGACTTATGCTTTTATCTTCTTTTATAGATAAGTAAGAGAGATCTCTTCAGTCTTAATAGAATCTATCAATACTTAAAGCTCTGAGACTCTTACTCTGTACTGCTTAAGCATCTGAGCTTCTTATCAGAGCTGATATGATGCCTTCTTATAGAGTAGATAATACTTACAGAGAGATAGAAGTTATTGTTACAGATGCAACAGAAATAACAGAAGTAAGAGAAGAGATAAGTATATAAGATTCTTCTCTTCTTCAGCTGCTTAGCATAGTGCAGACAAGTAACAGTGCTGATCAGAGATTATATCAGAGCCTTCTCACAGAGAGAAGATGAAGAAACTGCAGAACTCTGCAGACTCAACTCAGCAGCATTCTGAGCAGGGCTTAAGCATGTGAGAGAGGAACTATGAATTGAGCTTCTCAAAGTCACTGTTCTCAGAATCAAGCTCTCTCCAGGTTCCTCTCTGAATGATCACACAGAGTCATACATCACTGTATTGGCTGGGGGGGGGGGGCGGCGTCGTGACAGCAGTGAGAAGAACAGGGGACGGACTGGACACAGATGCATCAGCTGGCAGAAGGAATGACACCTCACTGTACAGCGTGGCTACTACCACCGCGGCTGCAAGAGATGCAGAAGAGAGAGAAGGTGTGACAATGAGAGCAGTGCTCCCGCGGCTCATTGACACTATCTTCACCTTCAACCTGGCTTTCTTGACAGTCACAGAGGCTGCAGCTGCATCACAAAGATGTTTATTACTCACTAGAAAACATCAGAATAAGTCTCTCATTGTCTCTTAAGAATGATACTCTCATGCACTCACTATTACAGATGGAGAGAGGGAAGAAAAATGTGTCACAGAGAGAGAAGATCTTTTTAAAAAAATCCTGTCACTACTATTAGCTTTGTCTCTAAAATACACTACTTTTGCAGAGAATTTCATATATAGAATGAAATATATTGAGAGATCTACAAGTCACTTATTAACTACATTTTTCATATTTCAAATTAATATATAAGAAACTCACTTATCACATATTTAATTTGAATAAAGATGAGAAAAGAAAGATCTACACAGTTAGTAGAATAACTCATCTATTTCTTTATACTGTATATATACTGTCAATTGATTGATAATTATTGCTATATAATAAAGATAATTTCTAATTCAGTAATCTTGAGAGTATTAAGACTATACTCTTAAAGAGAAGAGCATTATCATACTCTCAACTGTGTCAAGACTCTGTTACAGTTTTATATAACTTATTACTTTCATACAGATGATTTCATTCTATCTGAACTAGTTTTCAATCACTCTATAACATTATTCAGATATATTATAGAAAGATTTAATTAATGAATATAAGAATCTCACTTCTATATAAGATTAGCAGATTACTTTTTCTTGATAGTAAGATACTACTGAGATATTACTTCAGCTATTCTTACTTATAAAATGAGAGAAGAGTATTCACTTATTATTTATATAGAATAGCTAGATGCTGACTTCTTATCAAAGAAGTCAGTGATTCATTTTTCTTCTACTAAAATATATATAAGAGTTACTGTATATTTTATACAATCTTCTTAGTATACTAAGTATTATATCTGTGATATTCTCACAATAACTCTGTAGCCTACAAGCTCACTATTTAAGCAAGATAGTTAAGCTTACTTATATGACTTCTTAAACAACTATCTCTACATAATGCTGCTGACTAGTCACTGCTTCAGTTTTATCACATTACAGTAGATAACTTTTCATCATTGAATATTTCATGAATTTAAGAGGATTTGACAGAATAGTGATGAGAATTACAGAATAATAAGATTGTATCTTCTTTAACATCAAGAGCTCTTTTTAATATCAATGCCTGAGTTGTTAATTGTGAATCTGACACTTCAATAAAAGCTGCAGAACTGTGTATTATAGATGTATTTGAAGATAGTATTAAGATATCAAGAAGATTGAAAGAAGAGATGACTTTAATAATAAGATCACTCATCTTCTTCTTATACAACTTCTTCAAAAGATTAATTATCTTCTTTTAATTCTTCTTCTTCTTAATGATGATTTTGTTGACCTGAAATTCATATTTATATGATATGATAACAGCTGTATAATCTACAACTTTCATCTTCTTACAGATCTACTTTACAATATACTCCTTAGTCATCTTTTCTGCAGTATATTGAATATGAAAGAAGCTGATAGTTGAATCATTTACTGAGACAGTCTGATATTTGATCTTGACAGAATTCTTTATCTCATTGATAATCACCCATTCATACAATCTGTATGAGATGTCAGACTCAGGTGTAGAGATTTGTGAATATCAAGAATCCTCAGACTGAGTCTCTATATCCTTCTCATCCACCTGCTTCTTCATCTCATCATTGACCGGATCCTCTCCATTATCCAGAACTTCTGGAACAGGTAGTTTGGGGAGACTGAGGCGCAGGGTAGGAGTCTTTGTACAGGCTTGCAAAGCAGCAGGACAGCGGGCATTGTGAGGCATATTGAAAAAAGGGTTGATTGATATATGTGGATTTGATGATAAAGGTAAGAAAGACATGTATTTGGATGATATTTGATTGAAAAAGACGTGTATTGGATGATATTGAATGATTCTAGAGAAATGCGGATATTTTGATTTTTTGGTGGTGTTTTGCTACTAATTTTCAGGGGGGGCTGGGAAAATTCTGTTTTCGCAAGTAATATGTCCGCCACAATACTACTCCGAGTGTTATCGGACTTGCTGGAATGGGCTATGATTTCAGCTCCATCCAGAACCCGACAAGCAGGCTTAGTATCGAATGTGGAAAGATTTTCCCACTGGTATCAACTTTCACATTGTTTGCCCAGTTTTTTTTCTCTCGTATTAGCCCAAGACTTTTCACCCGCTTACCAATAAAACACAACCGCGATGTTCAAGAAGGTGGTCGATACGTCTGAAACTTCTGCGAACGCCTTCTCCACGATAAGCAGCAGAAGATAGAGAATAAAGAAGCTGGATACATAGATATAATTTCTGTTGCGATGGAAAGTGGGGAATTTATCCACCAAATCATGACGTTTCTTGCTGCCGGGCATCAGTCAACATCTGCTACTTTTCAACCTGTTATTTATGCCCTCTGCAAGTATCCTGCAATCCAAACTCGCCTTCGAGAAGAAGTTCGGTCCTCCCCGCCATCGATTTCATTTGACTCCCCGGCACCTATTTCCGCCTCCCTCATTGACTCCCTCCCCTAAATACATGCTGTTTGCAATGAAACACTCCTCTTCTACCCCCCTCTCCCTATTTACAACGTGAGGCGGTCAGAGACACGGTGTTGACACTTTCATTCCAAAGTGAACCATCATTTCTATTTCACCTGCAGTCACGGACCACGATCCCGAACTGTGGGGACCAGATGCGGGAATATTTAATCCAGAGCGCTGGATGGGCCCTGGAAATGCCAATTCAGGCGGAGCAACTAGCAACTATGTATTTGTTACACTTTTTCATGGACCGCGGAGCTGTATCGGAGCAGCATTTGGACAGGCAGAGTTGGCCTGTTTGGTGGCGGTTACGGTTTGGAGATTTGAAATGGAGTTGTTGGATCCAGGAAAGGAGCTTAGGATCAGGCATGGGCCTCTCGGAGTGCCCGAGGATGGGGTAGTTGTGAATTCGGGATCGTACGGCAGAGATCTACTACATGTATTTCAGAGTTCTCTAGATCTATATCACTGAGTATCTGAGCATTAGAAATTGAGCCGTAGCATTTCAACAATCAGCTGGCGGCTGCTATAGCGTATAATTTTAAATAAGACTTTAAATACCTGACTACCCGTACGGATAGGCGGTGTGAAATTTCCCTCTTAATATTCTGTAAAGGAATTGAGTTACTCTGATGTGACGGTTATGTTGTATGTATCATAGCGTACACTCTCAATCTTTAAGACAAAAGGTGGACTCTTGGTCGTGTGCAAAAAGTCAGGTTTACCGAGCGTAATTTCCAATCCTTCAATGTTGATTTGAATTTATCTCACTTCGGGCCGTGGCGAAGGCGGCAGAATTGTAGGCTTGGACATTCTGTCTGGTTATATGCGCGATAGCGCACAAAATGTACATGTTACATGTTAGTATGCATTCCACATTGCCTCAACCTCCATCCGAGATGCCCAAAAACATCGCCATCGCCCAATGAATCGCCCAATCTGCTAGAACTGGACGAGCGCAAAGGCATACGATAAAGCCTTATGGGGACGTGGCACTTCACTCTGAAGACCTGATAGGAAACTGAGCAGCAGACTTGCGGCTCCACACCTTCGTTAGTGATATTGATATTGGTTTATATCCCTGATATGCATAGGACGTCAGGTTACCTCAGAGGAGAGATATGGATGGTCAGCATGGCTTTACGCGGGGTGAGTTAATGCCATCGCTAAGGATAGTTCGCCCGTTGTCGACTTCCGCAAGGTGCGTTTAAGACTTGAGGCTGCATCATGTCCCTCCCTAACTCTGGTACATACAAGGTAGCAGAGCCGACAGAGCCGCCTCATCCATGACAATTTCCAATATATCCGACACTACTGTTTAGTCCGCCCACAACGAGATGGGACATGGAATTTGGCGGGCCAACCACACCGAGAAGAAGTCGAGGATGAATGGCCACTATGCAAGGCACTTCAAGTAGAGTCAATATCTGCTAGAATGGGATGGCTGTACGGAGTGGAAACCAAACTGATGCTTTCAGCAGCCCTGTCAGGAGGGAAAACCTGTTCGCAAGGGATGCTGGACCGGTTTTGGAGCCATCTCATGTATGTAGTTGGGGCAGTTGATAAAGTGAAAAATTCCTTGGCTTCTGCGCTTCCTTTATATCCCCATTGCCATTTATTTTCAAGACGATACGCCTGTGTTGCGACCCACCGACAGCAGAGATAACACGGCAATGCCGTTTAGCAGAAGTTCAGTTCCGAATGAATTTTTTGCGTTCATAAACCCATAGTGGCGGAGATCGAGATCGAGGAAGAAGAATGTGAATTTCTTTTTCCTTCTTAATAGTTCAAGCGTCGTGGATGTAGCGATTAGCAGAACATGGCGGGCATTTCTCGTTTCATGAATCCAATATGATGGACCACGAAGGACAAGTATATTCCATATTGCTCCTCATGCATGCACACACCCATCCAGTCATAAAATCACTCATAGTCATCCCGAAACACCATCATCCTCTCCACGTCTTTCCCATCCTTCTCCTCCATCCAAGCCCGAAACATCCCCGTTGAATTAAAATCAAACACGACTTTTCCCCTCCGCAACTTTCCTTCGCCCAATGTCTGCTCATCGGTTTCCACCTCTGCTTCAATCCCAATAATTCCTCCCTCCCCCTCTCCAGTCTTCCCCCACCGCCTCCCCGCCGAACGCTGGAGCTCCCCACCGGGCCCTGCGACAGCAGTGACTGCCTGTGCCAGCGAGATAGAGTTTTGAGCAGATCCAAAGCGGACCATCGCAGCTGCAGTGCGTGTGGCAGCTGTGCGGAGGAAAGAGTCACCGTTCCCTGTACCTGAAAGGGCAAGGATTCGTCGGCGTTGAGGTTGACTGTAGCGATGAGGGTTGAAGTCTGTGTGCGGGCTGGAAGTGGATTTTCCCAGTGGAAACTTTTCAACAGGATACTTAGATGGTTCTAAAGCGGCATATCCTGGTGGGGGTGGGGAAGAAGAGAAACAGTCGCGGATTAAAGTGAAGGCGCTATTTGAATCGAAATCAGATCGCCATTGGGATCCCATCCGATACGAAGAAGTGGTGGTAGTGGTAGAAGAGCTAGCTTGATATGCAAGCAGATTGTCACGCCCATCTTGGGTTTGATAATTCATCGTGTCCCTTTTCAGTTGGATACAGCCTTTCGACCTATCCCTGCCACTAGCGCACACACTATTAGAGCTGTCACTCATATTTGATAGCCCCTCCACCCCTTCAACATCCCACGCCTCCGCCCAGAATCCCGCTCCCAATGTTGGAGTATCCCCAATCCGACCAGGGCATTTATTCGTCAAACCACCCGTACTAGTTGCGACAGCAATATTACCCCAACGATCGAGACAGACACACCCAACTGTTCCCTGGCTCAGATACAGCCCATCGCCATCATCAGCTTCCCCCTCGCCTCTCACCTCTACGTCAGCTCCCATATTCCTACCATCAGTCATCCTTCCTCTTGTCTTCCCCTTCTTCAACCCCCGTCGATGCTCATCCCACCTCTTCTTCGTCCAAAACCAATCATCCGGACAAAACTCCATCCCCCAATCTCTCGCCAAACCTTCAACATACTCTCCACTAAGCTGCGAGTGCATGTTACCTCCATCACCATCACCATCACTCGCATAGCCTGTCCTAAGCAACACTTCTTTTGCCAACTGAATCGGATGCCTCACATTGCGAACAAGCATCACGCCGGCCCCGCGCTTTATAGATCCTGGTGTTTTCTCCGATGCTAAGCAATTGACCTCACTATTATTAAAATCATCAACACTGTCCTCATCGTTGAGCAATGATGCAACCATAACGGAAGCCTCCATCTCAATCGTGCCCGCAGACGTAAACACGCTACCGCGGCCGCAGTTGAAGAGCTCGTTGTCTTCCATGAGTGAAACGGCGTGCACTGCAGCATTTAGCGCGCTTGCAGGAGAGATGCGCATGTTGTCATCGACAGCATCATTCTTGGCATTAATAGATGGTTCCTCCTCTTCTATATCCGCATTTAGCAGGGCGGTGGTGGAACGGAGGTAGGTGAGGAGTGATGTGCGGTATTGCTTATATAGCTCTGGAGGGAGACGTGAGTGTTGGATGTTCCCTGCACCACCATGGAGGATCACAGCTGGCTTGAAGAGGGGCTGGCTGCGAGTCCGTTGGCGTGGTTGGGGGATTGGAGGTGACATTATTTACTTGCTGGGTGCAAGCGTATATGGAGGTGAGGGTATGTTGAGTGGTCTCTGAAGAACAGGCCCTAGATCAAATATTAGCTGCTCCCGACTGTGGATGGGTCGGCGTTAGTCTGTTCAAGCTGGGGTCGTAGGTTATAGTCCTGGGCATGGTGCAAGTCACGTGTCGGTCATCTGCTTCAAAAGGTTCCAAAGTGGCCGAGGGGAGATCTGCTGTTCAGTCAGCACCCAATTGTTCCCAGGCAAGCTCGAATATCTGCGAAAAATGAACTTCATATATATATGCTGTTTCTTTTTGTTAATGCCAAGATACTGTACACAAAAGCGGTAGGTAATGTTACCGCTCTTTCACTGACCCAGTCCAAAATATCGCCAGAAGCAGTAGTAAAAAACAGTAAACCAGAAATCACCGCCCTAATAAACACAGAGCATGCGTAAGGGGGAAATTCACCGGGGAGAGATGGGTAGTGATTCGGGCGAGGGCCTATTCCGCATAGAATAGATAAGGGAGATGCAACATTAAAAAAAGGAGGGTAGGAGAAAAAGTAGAAACATAGAAAAGAGGAACGTAAAGTGAAAAATTACATGAAGAAAAAAAGAACAAATCAGAAGGTAAAAAGGGGACAATAGTCATAGACAGACAGATGTGACAGAAGAAAATCATCTATGCCCACGCCTCCAGAGACAAATGATATGAGCCCACGACCGAACTCCCGCAGAGAAGAGGAGAGATTAAGAGGATAGGATTTGATTCTTAGCATAGCAATAAAGAGGGCAAAATAATGTATACCCGACGGTTAGGCTAGCATTGGGGCTGATGATGATTTGTCTGTTGCTGGAGGGGGCGGTGGTGGTACCTAATAAGAGCAGGACGTACATTAGAAACATGGGAAATTTTTGGTTAATAAAAGGGGGGATGAATTCTTGACGTACGTCTAATCTTGTATTTTCCGCCATCATTCTTTGGAACCCGATTCCGACGCCCTCAATCACAGCCAAGAAGCAGCCGCACATGATGGCTGAGTTTCTGGCAGCTCTCATACCACCGCGAATAGCGAGTGCACCTCCCGTAAAAAAGCCCGCAATAACTAGAGTAAAACTGTCAGATATCCAAAAAAAAGAGTCATTCTCCAAGACGACAATGCTTTCCCCAAAACACTTCCGAACTCTCATCCTCATGGGCTTATCTCCCGCTCTTGGGAGATGATGCACAAAGGGGCCGGGAACTCAGAGAAAATGGAGGCTCTGCACATACTGGCATTATACGGATCCTCCTTCTTTCTTATCCCCTTAACCGCACAGTCAAATGTTGAGAACATGCCACCCCATACACCGAAATTTCCACCGACAACCGGCGCCCGAGCCTTGATTGCAGTCAGAGCACCTATCCGCCGTTCACCATAAGGGCTGTTTCGGAACCCTTTCACGCCGTGCCAGACTGCACCTCCGATGGCCTACAGCAAAAGCAGAAAACAAACTAGGCTCAGCAAAACGGGACAGCCACGGGTCTGAAGAAGGGAGCAAGAAATAACGTACACCCATACTAAACGCTCCACCGAAATCACTCAGCGCGACCCAGGGGCAGGGATCTCTTGTGTGATCCATCGTGACGGATAGCTTTGGCGAGGGCGGATGGAAAATCTTCACACAGCTATCGACGATAATATATCCGACGATTAGCCCAAGGAGGTCGATTCGGAGGAAAAAGTGAGCCCGAAAAAGCAGCTATTGGAACGAAAAATAAAGCGAAGTATCTGTCCGTCCCGTCCTTCGTCCAGTCTGCGGCTATCCGTTTCAACTCAGCGAACACTTCAAGCTTCCAGCCTCGAAAGGATAGTAAAATCAATGTTGGACAATATTCCGGACTCTGCTAAATCGCGGCAATAAAAGGACCGGCGAAAGGGGGCCCAAGCAAGAGAATGTACGTGAGAGGGAGGCCAACGTGTCGTTGTCGTCGGTGACATAGATATCGGCGGAGGTGGAATAAAGAATAAAATAGCTAAGGTTTTTCTGCCCCGATCAATCTTTTGCTTCACCGGCGAGAAAATGCTTGGCAATATCACGTGATATAACTTACCAAAATCTATTAAAAAATGCGAGCCTGCAGAACTAAGATGAACTCCCATTCATTTTTCTGTCATGGACATAGTTTTTACAAAAGCTTCCGAGGGATTATTACATGTATATACATTATTATTGAATTTCACCTGCATCGCATTTTCTGGGATGTTTTTGAAGCTGCACCAACAGATTTCCAGCAGTGCTATTATCACCACGTGACCTATGAACTCTAAAGTTTTTTGTTCGAGTTCAACGCTAAGCGAAACAGCAGCAGAAAAATCATCTTAATTTATTTCAACTCGACAAATTCAATATCGAAGTGCAAAGAGGAAAACCAAAGGGAAAAGAAAAGGAATAAAAAAGGTAAAGAATATGCCAATGGCAATGGAAACGGCCAAGGAATCCTCTAAAAAGAGGAAGAGAAAGCATGCCAGTTCCGGCGAAGGCATTCGGAAAAAAGACAAGTCTGCGACTCCACTAGAAGCCGATTCACCAAACGCTGCTCCCCCCACAGAGTCGAGGAAGGCGATAAGGTCGAAGAAACGTAAGACAGGACACGTCGCTGTCAGTAATGGAGAAAAGAAGAAGAAGAAGCAGGAGGAGGACGGGGATCTTGAGGAGATGGCCAAGATGAAGGATGCGGATGATGTTGAGAAGGAGGATGAGCAGGCAGAGTTGTCGCAGAGTTCTGCCGGGGAAGAAGACGGCAATGCGGACGAAGAAGAAGAAGAAGAAGAAGTAGAAGAGGATGAGGACGAAGAAAAGCAAACAAACGGACAGTCGAACGGAGACCAGCTGGAACTTCCCTCTGTAAATGCCGTGTCGCTGCCACAAACAGAGTCTGAGCCGCAGAAGTTTTCAGAGTTGGACCTCTCCGACAAGACCATGAAGGCGATTGCAGATATGAAGTTCGAGACAATGACGGAGATTCAGCGTAGGGGTATACCACCGCTCTTGGCCGGGAGGGATGTTTTGGGTGCGGCGAAGACGGGGTCGGGGAAGACCTTGGCATTCTTAATACCCGCTGTGGAGATGTTGAGTGCATTGAGGTTTAAGCCTAGGAATGGTATTGTCGCACCGTGGTTCCTCTTCCGTCTATGTTTTGTTAATTTTTACGGAAAGATTTTCGTTAACGATCATGACCGGGTTTGATTTAGGAACTGGTGTTATCGTTATCTCCCCAACTCGAGAACTTGCGCTGCAGATCTTTGGTGTCGCGCGGGAGCTCATGGCTCACCACTCACAGACATACGGTATCGTTATTGGAGGAGCCAACAGGAGGGCTGAGGCAGAGAAGCTTGTAAAAGGTGTCAATCTACTAATCGCAACCCCCGGCCGTCTGCTTGATCACCTTCGAGACACGCCAGGGTTCGTGTTTAAAAATCTCAAAGCTCTCGTAATCGATGAGGCAGACCGGATTCTGGAAGTCGGCTTCGAGGACGAGATGCGCCAGATTGTTAAGATCCTGCCTTCTGAAGATAGGCAGACGATGCTATTCTCAGCCACCCAGACAACAAAAGTGGAAGACCTGGCCCGGATTTCCCTCCGGCAGGGACCGCTGTATATCAATGTCGACCACCGCAAGGAACACAGCACAGTCGAGGGCCTGGAACAGGGCTACGTCATCTGCGATTCCGATAAGCGATTCCTTCTACTATTCTCATTCCTGAAGCGGAATTTGAAGAAGAAGATTATTGTTTTCTTCTCTAGCTGCAACTGCGTCAAGTACCATGCGGAGTTACTGAACTATATCGATCTCCCCGTCCTTGACCTCCATGGCAAACAGAAGCAACAGAAGCGCACGAATACGTTCTTCGAGTTTTGCAATGCTACTCAAGGAACATTGATTTGCACGGATGTTGCTGCGAGAGGCTTAGATGTAAGTTTTTCTATGGCCACGATATTTTTTAATAAAAGTTCAGGGGATTATGACAGCAGAAGGATCTAAATCTAACATGTACTCACGTCTAGATCCCCGCTGTTGATTGGATCGTTCAGTTTGATCCTCCAGATGATCCTCGAGACTACATCCACCGTGTTGGCCGAACAGCCCGTGGCGCAAATGGCAAGGGACGAAGCTTGATGTTCCTGCAGCCGTCCGAAGTGGGCTTCCTCAAGCACCTGAAGGAGGCTCGAGTTCCTGTAGTCGAGTTCGATTTCCCAGCTAAAAAGATCGTCAATGTTCAATCTCAGTTGGAGAAACTTATTGGACAGAATTATTACTTGAATAAGGTATGCTTATATACAGTTCTCCGAGCGATTTGCCTTTAACTAGCCACTCGCTAACCATATGCTTGAAAAAATCAGTCCGCCAAAGACGGGTACAGATCATACTTGCAAGCTTACGCCTCCCATTCCCTCCGCTCCGTGTTTGACGTCCACAAGCTTGATCTCGTTAAAGTAGCCAAGAGCTTTGGCTTCCCAACCCCGCCGCGCGTCGACATTACCCTAGCAGCCAGCATGAGCCGGGATAAGAAGCAACAGGGCCGACGGAATTATGGCAGCCAACCTAAACATGCGCCAAAGTTTAAACGAAAGGTGGAGGATTAGGGGATTAGTTCTGTATGTGTAGGGATCATCGATCGGAAGGTGATTGAAGAAGTTAAAGTTGAAATTGGTATAGAAAGAGGGTCGTGGCATAAAGGTTTATGTATACCTACCTGCCTCCCTATACTAAAATTATTCCAAAATATCCCCTAGTGTATTTTATTAGTTATTGGGTTTTACTTCTTGATACGCCTGTGGACAACAGGGCACTAGATTAGTTAGGCGTTGGAGCATTTTCCTACATTTACGTTACTAGAAAATAAATATTCAGTGCTTTAGGCCCATCAGCATCTATTGAACGGTTGTTTAATTTCCTTTCCATTTGTTAAAATTCCATGGAAGATGATACGCTTCAAACTACAAAGTATACCAGGGCACATTTAGTTAAGAGTGGGGCAAGCCTAGCAATTCGCATTTTCATTCTTCTTGTTTGTCGCTCACGATCCAACACCAATCAAACCCGGCCGCGCTTCCCCATATTTCCTTTCCTTGTAATGTACGGAAGGCAAAAGGAAAGTGAAAATGAGAACGAAAAGGAGAGGAAAGTGAAATAGCATAATGTGAGCCCTCCTGACTCCTTAACCGTGATGTCAACAGCAATGGGGATTCCGTTTTGTTTAAAGTAGGACAATTCAATCCGTAACTCAACGCACAATTTTAGACTGACGTTCACGACTCTATTTTCACGTTCTTTTTGTCTTTTTTCCCGCTAAAGCTTCCAGAGACAGCTTTCCATTTTGCGCCAGCCCGCTCTTCAAGAACCTCTGCCTCATCAGCCAGAGGTGACAACCCCTCTGCCATGTCCTGACCAGTTTCGGGTAAAGAGGATACATCAATCTATAGAACACAATGAGAATCGCGTACCGAGCTCTTAACCACCACGTGCTCTTGAGTCCGTAGCATCGGCGGGCAGTTCTTCCGTCGCTATTGCCATGTCGAGTGAGTGTCTAAAGAACGCGATTACGGCGAGAGCGCATGAAAGGCTGGTATATTTGGGTTGAAAGAGGCCCTGAGCAATGCGAACGGCTTCTTTGGGTGGACGGATTCTTTGCAAGCTCTCTATTCCAGTACTGTTTGAAAGCTGAGCCGTTTTCCGGCCACATGGATGGTGGGACTTGAAGGGCGGTGGGGGAATATAGAGAATTGTTGGTAGACTTGATCACGCTCTTCTTCGGAGAATGGGCCAACGATGGTCTCGTATTTTTCTATCATGGTCACATAAGCAACTACAGCGATCCAAAGCTGCAGCTGGGGATCCATGGCGTCATAGCTCTGGTTGGTCTTATTGTCGTTGACGGGTTTAAGTGTGGTTGTGACGAAGTTACGGAAAGCAATCTTCTCGGTCTCGGTGCCGAATGCCATAACATTGAGATATATGGCTGTGTTGAGAGTCCTCTCGGCATGGCGGGTGCTGAACGTGCTATGCCTTCCAGCAACCCGGCATGCCATGGCCACAGAGCTCAACCTCACGGGAGGTGCTAGTGTAACGTGTACATCCATTTCCAAGCTAGCTAGAAGCCGTGGACAACTGTAACACTGCGATGTTATCTCTTCGCACTTGGCGATTGGGTATGAGCTGGATTCGTCCCAACGGGAACGGAAACGGGCGTGCTAAATGATGAAGATGGAAAGCTCCGCAGCTGTGCCTAGGTCGTTGGTACAACGACCGAGATATCGCTGGTATGCGTTATGAATGCGATGAGCCTGCTGATAGAGTGAGTAGAAGTCCTATACAAGATATAAAAGAATAAAAAAAAATACAGAAAATTAGTTACGATAGAGATACTAACATCGAGCTATTGTTGTTTTATACCGAGAAATGCGCTACCCACCTCACCGGCTAAACCGAATGTGTATCCAATGAATAACGTTAAACCAATAAATCATTATTATGCGGGGTGCTTCGATTCATCGCCTTCGATCTACCTACTATACTTGAGCTATTGACAACCCGGTCAGTACTCACCTATGTATCAAGACAATACTCTATCGCGCGGCTCTGAGAAGAGATCTGCACTAGTAGTGATGCATACTTCTCAAGAAGCTCACTGAATCTGATCCCTTTCCTTTGTCCCACGTGGACCCACAGCCAGTGCGGAATGTGGGAGAAGATGATATGACTATATAATTGGACCGAAAACCCTCCAGAACCTTGAAGCACTGACGTGAAATTTGCCAGTTTTCCTCGTTAGTGATATCTTCCACGCCGTGGGGTTAAGGTCTCAACGCAAATGGCCCTGGTCTCTAGCCAAATTGTCGTTTTATTAGTTTTCAAATGGAGTGTAACATGACGCGATCGATATTAGAGTCGGATACCCCGAAGATAATCTTTTCTAGCCAACCATCTTACGGAGACAGGTTGTCCGGTGGAAGTGTCCGAGTTCGTCCTAGTTTGGCCGCCTTTCGTGCGAATCCGCTTTGTTCAAGGGTATCAGCCGCCCTAACATATTGTATTCCTGTCTGGTTACATATATTTTATGGACGTTAATTGCATTGTATGCGTTTTCTTTATTGTTAGTTGAGATACCTAGCGTTCCGGCCTTTCGCCAATAGTAGTCGTCCAACCGGGCGGGTGTTGGCTTTGATAATTGGAAAGCGTGTATATCCTATTTCATTGGGCTTTTATTTCTTTCGCAGGGTGGTTTACGCTGCGTGCTGTGTAAGGTGGAGTATAAGTTCGCTTGATATAACCAAGGATCTTTTGCTGGATATTTTTCCGCCACTCCTCCGCTAGTTTAAACTCGCAAAAGACTCCTTTGGCGAGTAATTTTCAACTTCGCCATAAAGTCTGTAAGACCAGGCGAATATTTTGGAGGCAACGCAGACCCGACTATTGTCAAAGGGCGGTCATAAGGGGCATAGAAAGTATCGAAGGACTTAGCGGTAGTGACAGGACACTATATGACTGAACCTCTTTCGCCCGTTTCAAAGCTGTCAAACTTTCTCCTCTTTTCTTCCCCTGGAGCTATGTCGCTCTTCAAGCAAATCAAGCATATTTATTCCATTTTATTTCACTTGCCATATTGTTGGAGAGCACCCGGACATATCGGTGAGAGGGCTCACTTGCTCGGCCTCGGGATTTTCTCTCACCAATTTCGGACGCAAATGCTCGATACGATACCTTTAGCTCTCAATGAGAGTTTCAGGAATGGTAAGATAGGAATGCGTTGTTTAAGGCCAAATCTTGCGTGGGAATAGTGATGTTGCGATACTAATCGAAGAAAATTGGGAGGAAGCTGAATATCAAAAGTAAATCCTACGGCAAGTTTAGTGAATCGAAACAAAGAATTTTTAATAAGATCAGACATCCCACTTACCTCAAACTTCCCATAGAATCATTATCACATCGACCTACAAGGCACGAGATAATACATTCTAGTGGGAGAGATCCAAATGGAAATGTTGACAGCAAGTCGAGGTACGAGGGCATATGTGATGGGCCAGGAGGCTGAGTTGCGGAGGGGTTGTCCCCGTCAGTGTTAGCATAAACAACGGGTTCAAGACCGAGTTACAGCATAAGAGAACCGAGTAAAGGCAGATGTAATTCTATTTTCCCGAGCCTGAAGTATGGTTGGAAGGGGAAGGGAGGTGTGGCCTTGATTATCGCGGTGATAGAATACGCTTGGCCAAACTTATCCATGTAGTCTTTCTCCTTTTGTTTGACTGTTAGGTATTAGTGCCATGGCTTTGTGTATCCCTATTCGCTGTTTATTGAATAATCATCTTAGCGAGATTGATTAGTTCCTTGTCATATTTCTTTCCCTTGCATCCATTCTCCGTCCACTCCCAATTTGACCAGGAGATCAAGAGGGCTTCCTGTTCAATTAGACAAAATTTTCCGAGGAGCTTCACAGAATTCAATGTTGCGTCAAAAGAACCTTGACTGATAAATGTATGTACGATCCGTCGACCTTTTGATTTCAATTAGATTTGATAGCACTTTGCTTGAGCCCCTTGATTTAGTACCACACTCATTGATCATCGATTAGCCAAATTCCATGATTTTGCGAGCGAAATTTGACGGCTGCTGCGGCACCCTCCCAATAGCAAAATATGCAGGATCATTCCCTCTTATGTACATACCAGTCGTGAAGGGAGAATGGATATCTTCAAGTGCTCAATTCATGGCTGGTTTCTAAATCCTGAAATTTTCCTATGTACTCCGTAGGAAGTCCCCTTAGTGTCACGTGGAATGCATACACAGTTAGGAAGGCTTCGAGGAGTTGCCCAAGTGGCTGGGCACAATTTCCATGATCAACATATCTTAACTTATTGATAGGAGAGAATCACGGAGGTTGGGAATGATCGGGGTTCACAACATCGCGCACCTTGAGACACAAGCGGGATGGCTGGGCGTTTGCCCATTGAGCTGGACGCTTCTTGGACGGTAATGATTTGCTCGGGCAACTGAACAATGAACATTCGCTTTACCATGTTTACCCTCCATTTACCTCTTGTTCGTCCACGGCTCTTGGACGAGGGGCAACAGGAACAGCGATGACGGAAGGTCTGTGGCGGTTTGGATTGAAGGCAGCCATTGCTCAAGGATGTGGTGGTGTGGGGTGATGTGTTGGCAAGCGCGAAAAAACTGAAATCAGAACAAGGGTAGGAGTAGTAGCCAATTGGCTTGTGGAATTGGGCCTTGTCGCTAGGGAGACCAGCAAGCCCGCTACACTTTAGCTGTTGAGGCTTCGAGAGGCATGGTGACTGTGGCTGGGAAAGAAGAGTGGAGCATCGCCGATGCGATGGGATGGGCGCAAAAAGAAATGAACAAAAAGAGCGCTTTTCATACAACCCGTGGACGACGGGAGCCCGTAGCATTTGTCGATCGATGATGAGAAGTTGAAATTAACCAAATGAGAGAGATGTCTCTTCTTCTTGTTGTCTGGCCATCCTGCACAAACTTCAATCATAGACGGTGTGGTGTGATATCCTCAAAGGCCCTGCGCCGCCTGCTGGAACAGGCGAGGGACCCTGTGCAAGTTGTTTTGGGTGACGTTGGAAGCAAGCATTCCAGGAGGTTTCCCTGATGCTGGGTACACAATCTGGATCCACGAAGAGCCCTGCTTTACAAGTGCCAGGCGCCAGACAGGTGTCAAAAGAAGAGAGAATACCCGGGAGGAATGATAACGTGATCAAATCAGAGCTGCGAAACTTGGTATATTTTTCTGTCCAACTTGTTACGGACTACGGAGTATTTTCAACAGGGTTTTGGTGGGTTTGGAAGTTTGTGAAGTTGGGTTTCCGCGAGAGTTTCGGGAGGTATATTTCGGCCCAGGGAATCATTCAACCGTACAGAGTAGTGGAAAAGCGTTCCATGGGCCATGGCCCAATGGGTTCCCGTCTGGATACTGGCTGCGCCGTTATGTGCTGTAGATTTGGCATGCTCCACTTGGCCCGTTGGCTCCTGAGTTGGAGAAAATCAGCGCCTGGGTGAGAATTGTCGGGTGTGTTTTTTCTCGAACAAGTAGTAAACAGAACTACCGGCTGTCCAGTTATAGACGTTAAAGGACTGGCATGTTTGGCGATGTGTACGTAGTAAAAGGCTGGGAAGAGGGAGATGGGCTTTGGCGTGAGGGAGGGAGGTGTAAGTGTTGTGCTCTGCAGCAACAGCCCACGCTAGGGGATTGTCAGCCTCTTCTTTTTCCGCGCCCCCCCCCAGCCAGGGCTTGGCTGTTGTTGTCACCTTTCACCCTCCAGTCTTGTCAAATCTTGAACTTCACTCCTCATCAACCACTTTCATTTTTCCTCTTCTGCTATAATAATAACCCTAATTCTTAGCTTTTCGCAATATAGGGGTTCGGTGACTCTGTGAGTTGTCTTTTGGCCATTCTCGTATCCTGGCAAACAAACAAGAGGTGTTTGCGTGTTGAGTGAGGCTCCTTCAAGCTGTCCCAAGGTGAGCAAGACCAACAACACTATCCTCACCTCACCTCAACCAACCTCCTTCAACCACCCCACCCGCCTTCTGAGAGCTGTATCGACCAACTACCACCAGCCAGCTACTGCCATCGCTACCGATCCGTGGCTATCTTCAAGGGCTGTCGTCCTCTTACTTAGATGGCTCCACCTCTTTGACTACAGTTAGCTTGTTGCTAGGGACAAGGAGGCGACCATTTGTGCCAGCTTTTTCCAATAATAGCCCTTTGTTCGACTCCGGAGTTTACACTTAATAGCTACACTAAAAGCTTTGTTTCCTCACATTTTTTATACCCCTGATATCCCGCATCTCCCTTTTTTCTTTCCCCTTTTTGAGTATGCCATTGCTCGGCTAGCCGTCTCATGATGGGTGTTAACACCCGCAAACCGACGCTTCCAGCTCCTACCGACTCCTCGTTCCTTGATACAACAGGAGGCAGTGCGACAGGGACAGACCTCGCAACTGATCTTTCTCGACGTACCGATAAGACGTCGTACTCCATCCCGGATGACGGCAGCCCCATTACTATCTCTACCCGCCGTCGATCTCAAAATCGAGAAGACTCCAAACTCTCTAGAACCTCTCACCAGTCGCAAACTTCTCTTTTAATCGAATATTTTGAGGGGGGAAAGAAGGGCGGGGGCCTTAATTCTCGACCCAGTGTCAGAGTAAAAGTAACGCCATCTGCTGCTCGCAAGCTCAGAGACCAAAACGACCACATCCAGATTAGTGAATCTGGAGGGGGAAGAAAGCCTACATATACGAGGCGCATTTCTTTAGGAACGCCAACTCGAACTAGGGAAATTACTGAAGGTGCAGCAGATGATCTAAGTATCAGCTCAATTGGATCTCTGGCGGACGAAGCCGGTGCTACTCGCCGTTCACCATTGGAGATAGAGTTTTCTAGGGACAGTGAGGTGTCGGCCAGGTATATTCAGCCAACATCTGATATATCCTCCATGCCCCAGGACAGCATGTTGGAAGGTTCGAGCTCTATGTCTCACGTTCGCCGCCAACGAAGCCATAGCTTAAGCAGTGGCGACGGTCATGAGCAACCCCGCTCTCCGGGTATGTTGAAAACTCCTTCCAGAAGGAGAAGTCGAAGTTTAAGCAGAGAAAGGATTGCGTATAAGGCGGCAGAGAAACTTGGTGCTGTCCCGCGGGATGCCACTCGCTCGAAACACAGACGTAGCGAAAAGAGCCGAAGTCGAAGTGTAAGCAAAGAATTCCTACAACCTGAAGGGAAATCCTCGCGTCGACGTTCAGGCAAACACCGAGAGAAGGACTTGACCAGCACAGAATCGAGTCTGTTAAGCAATTCTCTCTCCCCCCAACTCAAATCTGGAGATCAATATTCTTTCCGTTCAGGGACATCCAAATCGTCAATAAACAACCCAAGGTTGCTGGAAACTGTTGAGGATGCTATTCGACGACTCATCCTGCCAGAACTCAAAGAATTGAAGAAAGATCAAAAAGTACACGCGAATCGAACCCAATTTGAGCGCGATACGAACGGTTCTCTCGGTTCGGGGAGTATTGGCTCTAGGGATGAGCTGGGACGGCGCCTGTCTAAACACGCAAGTGCTCCAGATGTCACCAAACCGCGTGTGATCGTCAGTAGTGGCAGCAAAGATCCATTAGTCATTTCTGACGGATATTCGGGGAGACCCAGGGAATCCAGACGGGAGAAACCACGGGAGTCACAATACGTTAAATCGTATACGCGAAGGTTTTCCGAAGATTCTTACCCCTCGGATGAACCCATACAGAGAAAAAAGTCCAAAGGACTTCGCGATGCTGAAGCTGCAGCAATTGTCGGCACGGCTCTGACATCTGCTGCTCTTAAACATCACGATTCCAAGTCAAGCCTAGACAAGCGGGAGCGGAGGAAGAAGCGCAGCAAGAGCCGAAGTCGAAGTGGAAGCATCAATGAAACTGAATTGATGTTCCAGAAGCATGGAGTGCCCCCAATGCCCCTACGCAGTGAAATTGATTCAGAATTGACAAGAGAATCGCTCTTGTCCCAACGGACCACTGGTACGGAAACTCCTCGTCATGGTGAGGTGGCACGCCGGTCACCGCACGAAGTTGAGTCACCTATTTCCCGAACACCAACTCAAACTCCCCGTGGATTAGCGAACGAGCCTAAATCTAGTGATGGTTTGTCGGCGAAAGGCCTGAGTGCCCAAAGTCAGCCCAGAAGCCCAACCTTTGATGATGAGAATATCACCCCAACCAAGGCAGAAACCCACCCTGCAGACCAAACATATATAGATCACTTTGACGAACACCCCAACGACTACACCGGTCATGCTCTCAGCCCGATCCAGAGCGTCGCAAGCTACCGGGATGATGACTCAGATATTGGAGAGGAAACGGGACAACAAGCTGATAGTTCTGGATCAGTAAGTAGGGACTTTCCCGAACCAGGTCACAGGCTATCCATCGATTCTCTGTCGTCTGCCCCAAGCACGAATTTGGCTAGATCTACACGTCCCGCTGACTACGAAGAAAAGAGAAAGGCATTCCTAGCTCAAAAAGACGAGTCTGGCGTAGACCTTGGGTACGAACCAACCCCACGAACGTCCAAACATGACTACTGGGCCGATAGTCATCTCGATGAAAGTGATGAATATAGACATTCGCTAGAGCAGGATAGTTTGAGTGACGATCGAGTTGATACCCGCCGTCTGACGAACTCTACGGAAGACAGTTTAGAAGATCCTTTTACTCCCGGCCAACAAGTTGCACAGGGCGCTGCAGCCAATGCGGAATATGTCCACACACCTGTTGCGGTTGAGTCAGCCGTTGCCTCCCTCCTTGACCCATCGGTGGTTGACATGGGCTCTCTCCAATCTGGTAGGAACTCCGCCTCTGGATCACCGAGTAGATATCAGAGTGGAAGCCCGGGATCATACACAGGAGCGCAGCGAGGTTTTGCAGAAGTTAACCTTGGAAGCCCATTAAAACAACGACAAGATGCATCAAGTCCTGAAGAGACATCATTCCAAAAGCGGATGGGTGCTACATCACCACCTCAAAGCGTCGAAGATTCTTCCGACGACCAGCCGCACTTAGGAGCAACAGCATTGCCCGGAGCTGGAAGCCCGATCCCAGAAATCGGTCATTTCCCTGATTCTGAAGAGTCAGAAATAAACACAAATCCTTCGATTATCCAAGGTCCTATCGGCGGGATCCCTCATGAAAATACAGACCATTGGCCCTACAACCCAACACCCCCGCGACCGAAGGGAAATGCCATGCACATGGAACCGAACGCTGATGAAATAGAGCCCCAAGCCCCCCTCGCGGATCATGAGAGCCCTAATCCTGACACAGGCCACCGGCCCCCTTATACCAACACCAATTTTAACGAACCATTTTATGGGAATGGATATGGAGATGGATACCCTTCTGGAAACAAAATTGACCAGGGGCAAACAAGAGATTCCTATCCAGACCATTTATTAACTCCGCCAGGAGTAAAGGATGAAGGCTACATATCAGGGGCAAATCCCCGTTCGCCAAGTCTCGCTACTCCTGAGCCAAGAGGTGAGCCATTTGAATTATTTGATAATAGAATACTGGGACTTACTATTTCATCAGGCCGCGACGATCCGTTCACTGAAACACATAAACGACATTTGAGTGGTTATTCCCACGGCATGCCCTCCCCACTTTACGATAGTTCCACTGGTCACGGAATTGATCGGATTCAATCGAAGGACATTGTTGCACTTATGGACCATGTGAGTATACTTGTTAATTCTTTTTTTCTTTTTTTACGTGTCTTTAATAGTTCTAATGCTGACGTTTTACTTAGCTCACCGTTCGTGATGCACAACGAAATGCTCGAGATACCGAAATCCTTGTGACTCTTGTGCGAAGTGCCGCGGAAATGCGTAATTCCTTCGAGAACATGAAAAAGTTCATTGCGCAGCAAGATGAAATGCTTATGGATGCGAGTGATAAACAACATGATCGGACCCAGAAGCTCGTTGGAGGACCTCGACCTCAACCGCTCGGTATTTCACGAACCCCTCGGCACACAACTGCCGACGATGACGATGAGCGATCAAAGAGGAAAAATGTCTTCAAACGGGCGTTGAAGGGCTTGAGTCTCAAAGGATCTAACGATCTTTCCAGGGTCGAGGACATGCTCGTTCATCTCCTTCTAGAAGTTGAGGCTTTAAGAGCTGCTCAAGAGGGCCGAGCACCGGGGACTGGAGGCGCTAACTCGAAAGAAAATTTATATGACCCTGGTCAAGATGGCTATGAGCCTGAAGATCAAGCTGATACTTCATCAACAGGAGGAGGTGATAGGTCCGGCTATTCGAATTCCCCTCGTATGGCTGGAGATATGAAAGCTGCAAGTATCCGGCGTGGATCGGACCACCGAATTAGCCCTGTTATGGAGGATGACGAAGATTTAGAACCATTAACACCGGATGAGCAGGATTTGCTTGACCAGCAAGTAGCCACTGACGCCCAGCTCATGGGCTGCCATAAACGGGGTGGTTCTGCCCCATTGGGCACTCCTCCGCGAGTCCCTCTTGTGTCCGGGGCACTGAGCACAGATACAACCCCTAAAACGTCCAACGAAAAGTCTCGAAAACACAAATCAAGTAGCTCGTCGTTTTTCCCAAAAATTTCGCGGTGGTCGAAAACGACAGCTTCCTCCATGGGTGAGAACATCCGGAATAGCATCCAAACCGGTCGCAAGGATCGACACTCCTCAGAGCTATCCCGATCAGGCTCGGACCTAGGACAGGACGGATACAATACTGGTGACTATTACGATCATCGCGGGGATGACAGACTACGATCAAACACGAGCTTAGATCAACGGCAGGAGAACCGCCCCCCGTCCCCTCTAGTACCCTCGCAGCTTTCGGAGTATCCGAAGTATCAGGCACATAGGGATAGCTTGAATCTACAACATCCTCAACCGCGCCAGGGACCCACAGATCGTTATCAATCCCAACTGGAATCGCAAGCTCAAACCTTTGTAACTCCAGTAGCTCTTAACTCGGATGCTTGGGCATCCAATGCTAGCCTGGGACGGATGACCCCTAACCCAAAAGCTCCCGGTTCGGACGGCGGATATTCCGATAGGTCGTCAGCTTCTGGGAGACGAAACGCGCCTCCGCGCCCGCCAAAAATCAGAGATGAAGGTCCGTTGGTTCCCCAACGACCGCCTCAGGGAAAGGGGGATGGACAGCTCACTTATGCAGAACGCATGGCTACGCGTGGCTCTCGTCACTCAAATTACGATCCTGTACGACTCAATACTATTGATTCCCCCCCCCCCACGATTTGTGAAGCATGAAGCAGCTAACCGCGAGTTTTTTTGATATATAGGCCGGTGGATCTCCAATTAGGTCTTCGCCTAAGAGCAACACTCCCCAGCGAAAACCCACAGGTCCGCGCCCTATCACTAGCTCTGGATACCCTAGACGACGGCAGTATAGAGGGAGCCCACAACAAGTTGATGACGACGACTATTAAAATGATAGATATTGGATTCTATTTCCTCAATGTTCTATCCCACCCACCTATTTGCTTTTCTCGTTTTCACATTGATGTCTAAAAGGGCGTGGCCTTTCCTGGGGCATGCATGGGTTATTGCTTTTTTTCTCTGGGTTGTTTTTGTATCTCAGTGTTTTATAGCGACGAAGGGTTTCCATGTGGAGTTTTTTCCGGCTCTTTCATTTCATTTATGTTGTCGTTGTGTTTGATATGAATGATGATACGGAAATGACACAGCTTTGAAGCTTTTGCCTTTTCTACGTTTTTTTACTCCTGTTATACTTGCCATGTAACTTGCCTTTTTTTATTCCCTTTTTAATTCATGCTGATATTGTGCGACTTTCTTCCAAACATTACTTGCTTATTGTCTCGATATTATTTTTTCTCCCTTTTTTCTACCTTTTTTCCTACTTCTTTTCGGCTGGCAGATCCCTCCCCTTGACATACCTCTTTGTCTATCATATGTGCGGAACCCAAATGTTAAAATGATTTCTGTTACTATCCATTTATTTTTCGTTCTTGCTCCAAAGCCTTCATGCCCCGGCTGCTGCCATTTGCTCGCCAATTACCTACGATCTCAGCCAGGAAAGAGAAATGATACGAGATAAATCAAATCCTCTGGCTCCTCCCGCCCAAACTCAATATAATATTAACAACCAAACTGAAGTTTTAATATTAAAAAAGCAGGAACATAAAATGGGAAAAACTGACGCTGATGTCCTCAATCTGTGCTGAGAGAATGGGTTCTATGTATGCAATATACGCACGAAGTCCAAGCGGGCGGAAACTAAACATGTATCCGTGGTGTTCTTGTCTTCCAGGTAAACAATCAGGCTATAGCCATGTCATGCTGGCCGGCGTGTTTCACACAGGTAGACAGGCAAGTAGCCAGCCAGCCAGCCCACCTTAGGGGTGATAGGATGAACCTTGGAAGAGCTAAAACCTCCTGGATTGCACAGTACCTCGTAACACTTGAGTCGCCATGCAACGGAGGATCGCCCAATTATGCAACGCCAACAGCTCCCAGTACGCGTAAGGTATGCAAATTAGCCATATATCGTATCACCTATTGAATAACCAGAGAAGAAGCTGGAGGGATGAAATGTAGGAAAGGCAATAGATGGTTGGTGGCGTGGTACCATGCCCGAGATACCTAGAAAACAGGAGACTATATTATATACAACCATTTTTTGGCTTCCTCATTTGAATCCTCCTTGACATTTCCCCCTTTTCAAAAAGAAGAGAGAGAGAGAAAGTGAGCAAAACGAAATAGCTCAGAATCCGACGCCCAAAAGCTCCAAATATCTCGCGAAGTAGGTACAGGACAATGACAAAAGAAATATGGGTATTTTCTTCCGGTGTCGTTTTCCAACACAAGCGCAGTCGCCTTAATTTTTGTTTCCCCCTCTACTTCTCAAAGTAGAACTTCCTAAGGAATGATCAGAGGCGCTAATAAGGAGAAAAAGAGAGGCAAAGCAAGTAAATAAAATAGTTGTTTCCGGCAAAACACTAGAAATCCACAGAGAGAGAGCAAGCTATCAAAAAAAAAAAAAAAAAAAAAAAAAAAAAAAAAAAAAACAATTGTTCCATTGCGAATCTACTAAGATGGAACGCAGCGCCCAATCCAGTAACGGATGATATTAAAAAAGAAAAGAAAAATATATAGGCGGGCGGGCGGGAGTAGCAAAAAGGAAAGGGAAAAGTTGTCAATCTAAATCAAGCCAAAGTTGAGAATTTTCTTCTTTTCTTTTCTTTCTTTCTTTTTTGTTTTCTTTTTGCCGCCTTTCTCTTAAGACGCCCATAATTTTATCAAGGATCATCACGACGCTCTGAAAATAGGCCTATTCGCATTCGGTGAGACTGGAGGAGGGGAAAGGTTAGCCTAGAGTTCCATTTTTGGGTACGTTTGTCAGCTTCAGTAACTTACGATCGGTAACTTCGGAATGACCACTCCTAGGACTGCCAAGAAGTTTATTATGAAGTAGGTCAAGTCGTAGTGGGTGTAGTGAGTACTGAGTAGGAAGAGAATAATCGGAACGCTGAGAAGGAACTTTTTGGCTGGTGTATATTGGTCTCCATTGTCGATTTGCTCCCACATGTTAAGGTTGTCATATGCTCCGGCATTGAATTCGAACGGTACTCCTCGAACCCAGTGAAACATGAGAAACGAGCCAAACATATAGCTGATATTAGTGAGGGTCCATGAAGTCTCTTGCGATACACCAGGGATGATGTCGTAGAAAATCTTAAGAGCGACGATTAGAACGAAATGGATAGTCCATGCACCTGGAAATCAAAATTTGAGTCAGCTTGCGTTTCATAGTAACACAGTATATGGCACATGTCCTCCTCAAGTCGTTGATTGTCCCTCTCCGGCTTCTTAGCTCCACAAATTCCGAAATCCCGGTTGTCAAGAAGGAAGGAAGTATGCGGATCCTTACCTTTTGCGTTAACCCAATTGGCGTTTAGGTTAGGCAGGGCAGCCTGATCACTTGTATGCTCAATCGACTCCGGAGGCTCCTGGTAGATAATGCTGCTCGACCGTCTCCTCCGTCCTGTTTTGGTCTCGCTCATTGTGGAATCAGGTTTGGGGCCGGAGTCGAGATCGGGAGCAAAGGAGACAGTCCTGGGAACCAGAAGGGAAGACAGCTTGGCGGTATTGTATAGGGTCGCTTGCTAAAATATGGGTGAAGAATGCATGCGAAGACAGGAGGGAAATATACGAGCAAAAGGATAGCTGTCTCTCTGGTGTTGTCGCCTGGGGATATATATAAGGACGGATCGAAAGTTTTCGCGTAACAATATGGCGTTTATGCAGTCTGAGCCGAGGGTCGCAACGAAGAGCTCCGTATACCGGTGAATGCACAGCTAATTAAGAGTATCTAGAGGAACGAGTGAGGCGGGAGCTGTGAACCGGTGGGAGGAGGAGGAGGAGGAGGAGGAGAGTTGTCCGGAACTGCGGAGAACTTCGGAGTTTAGCTGCACCAGCGGGCAAAGGAGTTGAACAACACAGCACAGCACTAAGGGAAACTCAGGAAGGCATTATCGAAGAAGAGGGGTGCTGCAAACCGGCGAGAAAAAGACAGCGAACATTGAAGGAAGTGTTTTGGGCGTTGTTTGAACTTCCACTGGCGAGCATCCAAAGGTTGAAGGCCACCGAACACGGCCCAGAGCAGGAAGCTTCGTCATCTGATTTGCGGAAAAATATTCCACCGAAGCCCCCGAGACATGCCAAGAATCGCCACATGGGCCAAGACAACGTCGCGATTAATAAAATAACCCGTGGACGTTATTGAGGGTCATGTGACCTGGATTCGTTCCAACCTGGAAGATTTAAGTTAGGATTTAGCTTCCTGGTTGGGCTTTGCGTTGGCAACTCTTTAATTAAAAACAGCTTCTCAAATCACCATACACGATCCGTGCCCCCTCAGTCCAACTTCAGGTTTCCCTTCTTCACTGTACGACAGTCCGGGGTGTCACAGCTGCGACATATATAACTAGCTACGCATGCTGGCCTACGCCTAATTCCAACAATATAAAGCTTGCACTCCTCCCGCAGGTCTACCCGGCGGAACATGTATGAGGATGATTGCGACTCGCGTACAGCCTCTGTTGGTTTGCTGAGGACCCGAAAAAAGCACGCCTTCTCTGAATCTAAGAAAATATCCTCTATAGGGACATCTGAGAAACGCCGATCAGGAAAGAATCTCACGTTAGGTCGTCGCGACATTCAAGACTTTGTCCCCAAAGGCACATCATTTACCTCTACACTGCTAGAAGTTGATAGCTCATCTAGCTCGAGTCCCGATACGGCCATGGAGAATAAAAGCAGTGATGACACCACCACGGACCTCGTGCCATCATCCGTTTCGCCGCCCGCATCTCGAGGAATGGCACCCGCAATGAATTGGAACAAACTCAGTAAAGGCACTGTCAGGACCGCTCTTCGTGGGCGACGCCAAGCGGACACGCCTGATTCATCTGCAGCAAATTCATTTGAGGCTGTCAATGGGAAATACTGGCGCAGTCGGAGTGCGTCTGCTTCGTCTGCCGGAAGTGGCGATGGTGAGCATCATCGCCGAATGCACGGACAAGGCCAAAGCGACTCCGAAACAGATGCTTGTCGGAGTAAGGCTCATGTCGGAACGAATGTAGGCCAAAAGACTTTCACTGCAGAGTTCTCTGATATGGATTCTGGAGATGACACGGATGGCAATAATGACATCGTTCTTAACCTGAGTGGTTTGCCTAAAACAGATGAGAGGATTGAGGCCACTGGGGAGCTACATGGTCCTGGCCGTGAAATGGCCCACCAAGGTAGCGACGTGCCAGGCGTTCAAAAACTTAATGGGGAGATTCTCAGCGAACCACATGGCTCGAACCTCTCTGTGCAAACTGAAAACAAACTACCAGAAGACGAGATTTATTGTGATGGTAATAGAGGAAACGCCTTGTCTGGAGGCCCAAAGGCCGAGGCGATTCGTTTGTTTCGCGCAAAGTACCCTTCAGATCCCACTACCCTTGCTGATCTCACTCGTGTTGATTTGGAGACTCAGGCTAGGTATATATTTCTCGATTTGGAGCCAGAAGATCTTGACCTCAGCCTGCCCATAACATGTATTGATTGTATGAAGGAAGGTCATCTGGCGGATATCTGTCCCAATAAGGAGGTATGTTATCTAGACGTCTCATTTTTATCGGGCGCAGTTGTGATTCCGTTTCTGTGCACCACGAAAGCAGCTCTAGTTAAATTTCTGACATCGTACGTAGTGTGAACATTGCGGAGCATGGTCTGTTCATGAAAGTCGATTTTGTCCTTCCCGGCGAAGATGCCAACGTTGCAGAGAACGGGGTCACGACGCAGAAGCGTGCTCTTCTCTTTTGAAAGGCTCAGCCGCGGAAGAACCCTGTGACTTTTGTGGTTCCGGCGACCATACCGAGTGCGAATGTGACTTGATATGGAAGCTCCCCAAGCGAAACCCAACCTCAGGCCGCATATTTATTTCCATATCCTGCTGTCACTGCACGAGTAATCGCCATCTGGTCGGAGATTGTCCTACTCGCAACTTTCCAATGAACTCTTCTTCCTTCAGTCTTAAACATTTTGACCCCTCAATGTTCTCCAACCTAAACACCTTCCCTGTTACCATTTCTGGCAAGGGAACTAGTAACCAGAGAAATTCTGGATACAAGATCAGAGGCCGCGCGAGAGGCCATTCACCATCTCCCGAGAGCGATGGAGCTTTCGGACAACCAGATAGTTGGAACCCAACAACACACCGTTCACCTCCACGTGGACGCATACGCTTCAGCAATGGAATTGGGCGTGGCAGGAATCTTGATGATGATACACGTCGGCCCCAAGGCTCCGGGAAGGGACCGCAAAACCCTAATGATTATCGCCGTGATTATAGAGAACGAGACCAATATTTCGGTAACAATACGCGTCAACGCTCTCTGTCGCCTATCCGACCTTCAACCCGTCAAGGCAACGGGGCAAGCAGTTGGCAACCTAGGGCTAGAGGTGGTGGTAATGGTGGTGGAGGTGGATCTCGAGGTCGTGGAAGAGGGGTCAAAAGGGGTTCAAATAGGGAAACATATCGACCTATGCCCAGCGCGGCTCAGAAAGCATGGGACCAACATAGACTCTGAAATGACATGGAAGAATTGAAATACTGCATGGACGTTTAGCTGACTGCATCTTGGCGTTTCTGCGTATATTAGATGCCATTCTGCTTCTTCTGTTGAGATACCTATCTGGTAACAATCATGCGGATTTATGTTTTGATACTATGCTATATTTATCTCCGGGTTTTCAGTGATATTATCACATATGACAAAATGATGCCAAAACAATGGCGACTATCAGACTCTAATTGGATAATTTCAACATCGTCGTAGATATTCTCCAGGGCACTGACAACCAAACGGACATACCACTTCCTTTACCCTAAATACCATGGGACTGAACACCAAGGCCTCTCCACGGTCTTCTATCTGTAATGTCGGAAATATACATCACCGTACCCATGTCTGCATAATCCTAGAGATTCTCCACAGAATCCGCAACCCCATCCTCCAAGATGGAAATTATGTCATCTAGGCGCTCAACGCAGAAGTGCGTATGCTCATGCTCCTTCACGGCTTGATTGTGGTCGTTTAGTAGGAGGATCGTAGCAGCCCCTGCTAGGTGACCAGCTGTCATGTCGTCAAGACTATCGCCGACCTATATATGTATAATTGTCGCATTTTAAGTTTTGTGTATTTCTTGTATAATTGAATTCAGATGCCGATGACGCTATATAGCTGGGATATGTTTCAAGGGAGGAATAAAATCCACCATTATTGGAAAAATTAAGCTTGTATAGTTTACGTACCATGATCAGCTCTTCTGATTTTATGCCCCATTCTTTAGCTATATGTAAAATCCCTGCCGGATCTGGCTTTGGGAGTATGTCTGGAGTGTCGCGGGTTATGATTGGGAGGAATTCATGCGTTGGGAGGTGAGTTGTTAGAAGGTGGTTTACAGGGGTTCTATAAGAAGGGCTATTAGCAAATATCACAGAAACATGATTGATTTAGTGAAAAGGAGGTATTTGATGCTGAAGATGTTGGCGGCGGCGCGCCTGGGGATCAATAAACGTACTCGAAATTCCGTGTGCATAACGCTCGCTTTAATCCCTTTGATTGCAGATAATCCATCAATTTTAGAAGACCGGGTTGAGGCTCTTGCTTTACCATAGCTTTCCGTTCGATATCTCTGACTTTCTTGATAGCTGTGGTGCGGTCCTCTAGCGTTGGCAAGCTGCGGATGTGCGTGATGATATCGATAGACTTATCAATCCCAAGTACGGAGCTGGAATTTGCCATTTGTTAGTCGGAGAGATTGTGATATTGTCATTCTTTGTATCTTTGAGAAAGAGGATAGGATGGACATACCGCATCTCTTGGAACATATAGTTCTGCGGTAGACTGGTAATAATAATTAGCTTTGGCGGTATATAACCGTAGGGAGCTCCTTCACGAAAGAATTCGAGTACCATAATGTCCCATCAACATCAAACACAACGCCTTTCAACTTCAACTTGTTATTGTCTTTACTTGCGTCAGGATGAAGCGGGGCAAACCGCCAGCTACGCAGGGATGAGCTGACTGCCACGGACATGGCGCGTGGAAGGAGCATGGGTCGAAGAAAGAAAGCAGATAACTTCGCCTTTTAGACGTAGGGAATAATGCTGATTGAAGACGATGAGATCTGGGATTAAATATTTCGGCGAATTGGCGGGGATCGTGAGTCGTACTTGTAGTTACTGGCTGATTGATTGATAAGATTAACTAGGGAGTTCCGCGGCTCTGTCCAAACCTTAATACCCAGCAGTAGTTCATCACCTACAAAAGCCCACAACGATTGACTAGACTATCCCCGCTTATTCTTTTTCATCACGCGTGTCCATGGAGACGTAAGAAATATATAAATACCACTCAGCTATCCAGGCCATGGAACCCCAAGAGGAGGTGCTGGAGGACTCTGTGGCCCCGAAATACCGGCGCGCAAAGCCTCTCCCCTTCGAATTGAGCCGACACTGCAACATTTACTTCGAAGAAAAACTGTGTAAGCTTCCCATGTCCCTCCTTTGCAAGAGATCCCAATAATAGCAAGTAACTGATATAATATCCGTGTCTTGTAGACCATCAAGCTCTCCATCTTCTCCTAAGCCTTCTCTCATCAGGTACTATCGCGTCAGGCCCTGCGTTCGTACCAACCACCCAGCAGCTTGCGGTTGCGGCAACTCTAGTCGTTCATCCCTCCACCACAACTCTCGCAAAGTCGCGGGAAGCTGCGCACGCGTCTACTACTGCTTTGCAACTTTTGCGCCTTACCAATAAGCTAGTGGGACCTTTGGCTGCACAATTCGGGAGTGCATTTGCTTTTACGCGTTACGCTTCCTCGCGCCATAGGGGGTCGCGTCGCAAAAACGATGGGAGCGAGGGAGCCGGCGCTCCAGGTATGGATTCGTACCCGGGCCTTATTAACATGGATATTGCTCGTCGTGGGTCTATCTGGTTTCAATCTGAAGATTTCTGGTCTGCTGTTGGATGGGCCTTTAATTGTGCCGTTCTTTATCCCAAGCGCTGGTCTAGATGGAGGGTCTGGCTGGAGTTTATGTGTGACGTGTTGGAAGACGACTGGGCAGAGAGAGAAAAGTTGATCGATAGCTCGAAAAATGGGGTAGGAGCACTATCTTCTGATGATACTCTCCGCCAGAGCTTAATTTTTAAGTATATCTCGGGTACGTCGGGAGTGTCCAGCCAGCATCGAAGAATCGTTCGAGCTATTTTCGCGGACGGGAATCAGGCGTCGCTGAACGAATTTAAGATGATATTCCGCAACGAACTAAAGGAACCAGAAAAGGACAAGGATCATCTGAAGCGGCGTGAAGCGGATGTGAACGTTGACGAAGGTATATTTGGGGACTACCTTGCAAGAGACGAAGATGACGTTGACGAAGAAAATGACGCCGTTTACACGGGGGATACCAGGCCATCGCGTCCGAAACGATCGAGAACTACAGCACCAACTCCATTTTCGAGGTCGGCCGAGAATCTCGATATGCATCCGTCGTACAAGTCATCAAGTAGCACACATTCGGGCCAGGAAACACTGCTGGGTGACGTATCGGCTATTGGTCTTCGGCAGCGCCTTATGCAGATTTTGTCCCGAGTTTCAGATGCTCTCCCGGAGGATTATATGACAGTCGAAGACTTGTATCAGCTCTTTGGGGAGTTTGTCCGTCCACTGTCCCTCCCCACATTTCAGCTCCTGGTATCATGTCCGATGTTGTCTAATTTTGCCGATAACGCGCGAACTACTTTGTGCAAGACGATTCTTTCACTTTTACTTCACCAACACCCTAATTCAGAACAGACGTACATCAACCAATCTACACTAGAGAAATATTACCTGCAATTTGCCGCTAACACGAACGATGCCATTGAAAATGCGAAAGTATCGATACTTCTCGAGACCTTACTACTGCTATTAGCCTCTAATGACATGTTACAAGTCCAGCCATCCTTGAGAGCCGCAATCCAAAAGGGAATTATTGCAAGAGCTGATAAAGCGCAGAGTGATGCCAAAAAGAGCCAAGATAAAAGGAAATTAGACGAAATTGGTTGGGCTTGGCTGATTGAAAGCGGCGAACGAATCACCTACCTGGTGGACAAGTTATTATCGTCAGAGATGGAAGGGCAGACCGATACTGAATAAACTGCGTCATTTTCAATTCTATCTATGGCCATAACCTTCAGGCTTGGGTCAAATATTTAAACTACATATCTTAAGTAGGCAAACTATACCTCCGCCTCCTAACTCCATGAACAAAGGTACATTTTTCTCCTGGGTCGTTCATCGCGGCGATGGAAACTTTTTATCCAAATATATGCGTTCCTAGGGTGAGATATCCAGAAAGCAAGGAAGAGCTGATATCCCTTTTTCCAAACTAGAAATAAGATTCGATTGAGCTTCTTCCAACTGAGCAAGGAAAATTCCCCACATTTCTTCCCTCGGCGCCGATGGCTTCTCAGGCTTGACAGTTTCTATTTTCCGGCTGCGATGCGAGGCTCTGGCTTCCATGAGATCCACCAGAGTCGTCCATTCCTCGTATGTCAATCGGGAACGTACTGCTTGGCTCGCCGGACTATTTAGTTTAATTCCGCGAGTGTCTGGAGCATGCGTAACATCAGCCGGCTTTGAGATGTCGGGGAGTTGCAGCTTCCACTCGATGAGTAAGGCCCTATACAGGTTGTTCCTACCCCAAGAAACAATCCAACTTTCTCGTCGTTGATCTCCGGAGGTTTTCTTCCAGTGCTCCAGGGTGACCTTCTCTCTGGCCTTCATCTCTTTCTGTACCTCCTCAAGCAATTCAAGCAGGTCGAATGCGTTACGTGTGGCGTTTTTATATATCTTCATCCGCAGATCTTGCAGGGTATTAGGGAAATCTTGTCCAGTCGGAAGCCATCTAAAGCCGGTTCCTGGCTTCATTTCTCCGAACCTGGTGTGGTCGAAATGCGCGCAGACCACCAGTGCGATTTGGTTGAAGTATCTAGGTTTAAGCGATGCTAATGGGACATACGGGTCGCTACCAGCTATGATGCTCCATTCCCACGACAGTTTCTCCTGAACTATGGCTGCTAGAATTGCTCGTTTGCGCTCATCGAACAATCGTTGGAAGCTTGTTGCGGAGAGAGGGAGGTATCGCAGCAAAGTCCTAATGCCTGAAATGTCCGCGAATGCGAGGATATGGATTTTTATGTCGGCTGGCAGCCTGCTGAGGCGACAATTAGCTGCCACCTCATCTTGGAGCTCCCTATTCGTCAGCTGTGCTTCGCGCCTCCGAGACGCTCTTAGTTGTTCGATATTGCCAAACATTGGCATTTTTACGCGACTTTCGACAATGACAATACTTTCCCTTAGAGATGAGCAAGCAGCAAACGGTTTCAACTGCGGGCGCCAGTCGGAGACCTTGTCGGTAATTAAATTTGTGCCTTAATAACCGAATATAATGTCAGGGATCGCGGAGAGATCTTGTGTTGTTACCACTGAGATCGTTAGTTGCTGGACGGAAAAATCCTGAGAAACAATCCCTTCTGGAATGCAGGAAGAACATACCAGGTATACGGTGGAAAGTAAAGGATATTGCAAGTCTTAATATACGTTGATATAAAAGTACCTGGCGATGTATTTCAAATTGAGGACTTCCACTCGCATATAAATAATACTCGCATATACATAGTACATTATTCAAAGGGAGACTACAGTGCTTATCGATGTATTTGAGCCGTCCTACTTGTTTCTCTTCTTCCCAGCCAGGACAGTACAATGCCAGGCCCCATTGGTTAAAACAAAGAAAAAGTCCCCGGTGCGAATGTTCTTTACTTACCTTCCAACGCCTAGTTGGTTGAAGCAAGAATGAGTTGGCCAACATAACAAGCACTCTCTTATACAAGAGGACCCGTCAGTTCGACAAAGGGACCTGTCTTTTACTCCAATTGGTGTGAACTGCGATCAAGCTTGGGGGCCGGGATACGGTCAATGAAGCATCTACTTCATATTTCGCGAAGAAAGAGTTTTTAAAGCTGGGAGTTCCCTCCAAGAACACCTTGGATAACTGATAGGAACGTCAAAAAGCCGAACATCCTTGTTGATTAACATGAAGAGCTGACCAGGTCCCACTAACTGAACTATTCTTTCTGTTAAGATCTGGTCTGGAATAGATAACTAACCAATTTCCGAAGATTACTCCTCCGCTCTTCAGTTGAGTTTCATGCTTGGCTAGCAAGGTTCAGGTTAAAGAAACCATGCAGCCTTCATAAATCTGTCAACAAGAAAAACGGTAGTTATCGAAGCGATCCTTTTTGTTTACAAAGAAAGGTCATGAATAAATTGATGAACTCGAAAGAATTTTCCTTGTCTGAATTTTCTTGAAATCCTTAACCAGTAAGCATTTCAGCAGCGACAGCTCATCATATTCCGCAACTAGAAAGTTATCCGCATGTTACTGACTCGTTGGTTTAAGAAAGCTGCTCCCGGATGACTTGGCCATCCTTTTGCGACCATGCGGATCAGGTCCATTGACCGAATTCACGAAATATACGGCAAGGGGCTTTTTTCCCCCGCCGCCTCTTCGTCTACAACTTGAGAAAACAGTTTGACTGTTCATCCGAAAGTCGTCTTTGAAACATCGATTCATTCAATATGCGATGACTCCGGCATGATGCTGATAGAACACCCATCGCATCGAATATGTAGTAACGATTTGAAGGAAACGAGGTCAAGAGACATTCCCACTGGATCCGCGAATGAAAGTACGCGGACAGAAAGAAAACGTGCTAGTCACAAGACAAGAGGACGAGCAATACAGATAAGAGCAGCTTCTTCTATGTCTACAAGTGCAGCAATGAAGGCAACGATAGATTTTGCGCATGCTCCATGAGCCCGGTGAAATCCGGTAACTAACTATTCTAGCCACAAGCTCAGCGCTCAGCCTTAGCGACGGGACAACGACCTTCAAAGCTTAGAGGATGAGCTAGAGATCGCTTTTGATGCAATTTAGCCGCTTGAATCAAATCGGAGACCGCTATTACCCATCGAGATGTTGCGCCTGGGCATAGTAAATACATTTTTTCCGGAACAATTTACCATGTCCTGAGGCAAACTCTGGCCAAAATCTTAAATCAGGTATCGACATAGACGTTCGAACTGCCGGACTGCATCCAGAGAGAATCCATCTAGAAAACCCCGAGGCAACAGCCAAGGGAATCATCATTCGAGCCCCTCACCCAGCGATCGGCGGCTTTGCGATTTTGATAAGGAATCTCAATACGATATCAACACGGGATCTCCGCAGATCCTGCAACTGACAGGTCAAGATCTGCATCTGATGCCACCATTACCGTGCACTTACCCTCCTGCGACCAAGGCCGGGCCATATGAACGGCGGCTAACGCATGCTACTTAGCCTTATTCCAGCTAGTGCAGGTCCAGAGGATAATCGAAAGATGGGGTTGGTAAGATAGATCTATTGATAAATCCAATACTCCGTACGATACATACCCAACATGCAGTCTGGTTTGCTCCTAGCCCATCAAACGTCACTTCCCAGCGCATGTCATTCGCATTCGAATCCCATAAAGCGATTAACTACTCTCCCTACAGGCGAAAATTAACCCTTCGAAAAACCACGGTGCAAAAGGTATTGCTTTCGGGCCCCAAGGGCACATACACGAACAGAATTCCCAATTCTGGAGCCAACTCGAGCGCGTGCCATCAGTGGCGCGTTCTGTTGGTAATCGTAAATGCGACGTTACCGGCAACATGACTTCCATAGGCTTTATAATGTTCATTCTTCATTCGGATCTAACGGATCTATGGCAGCCATTGCAAAGCGGAGAATCATCACATACGAGGCTATCTCGAGTTCTTACCGCCATGGGGACAGGGATTTATTTATACTCCTTCACGCCACCACAACCGATCACGTCCCGATTTTCACTGCCCGCTTGCAAGGCTTCTTATTAGTATTCGTCAGCATTGGCTTGAACCCCGCCGCAGCGTTATCTAATCCGATGTAACAGCGGATTGGCCGTTGGCGTTGGGTGGGGTGTGGACAAAGTCTCCGATGTGACTGTGACTTATGCATTTAATATTGCCCAATACAGAGTATGTATGTATGGCGTCGATCCAGTTGAGGAATTTGGTTATTTCTCGTCAGGAATACTCCGTAGTGCTTGGATGTTTTACTCTGTAATAAAATTGGGACTTCTGCCTGAGCAATTAATAATGGTTGGGTACTCTGCATGGAACGGAAGGTTCAACATCGCATATATACGAGCTTCTATCGATCTATGTATGTACATACATGTACTAGTAATTGCAAGAAGTTGATCATAACGGATACAATATGATGCGCGACACGACAGGCAATGCGATCAATGGCAAAGATTACCAATCCTCAGAATAATCCTAACGACTGGCTACTCGCTAGTTTAGCGTCGGCGACGCCTCTGATTTTGTGCTAGCCCAAGCTTCATACTGTGAGCTGTTAAGGAAGTCGATATATCCAACTGGGGATTTTGGCGTATAAAGCGTTCTTCGGTTGTACGGCGTGAAAGGTATGTGATTGAAAGCACGGAAGGGCAGGTCTGGGTTCGATGTATAAAATCGGCCGAATGCGATGGCGATGCGTTGACCCTTGAGATTTTCAATTCTTCGATTAGCAGTCTCGGGGCGGAACCCTCCAGCGAGGATTACTGGCCCGGAATTCGCGTATGCGTCGACGACAAAATCCGTGCTCTGATAAGCTCCTTCACACGATTCCGGACCGCTGACCCGGCTCTCCACCACGTGCAAATACGCCAATTTGATCTTTGCTAGGTTTTGAACAAGGTGGGTAAACTGTGGCTTCGGATCTGCCATTCCCATGGCCTGGAACGGGCTCCATGGACTGATTCGATATGCAGTTTTCTCACATCCAATGGCTTCTGAAACTGCCTTAGCCACTTCGATGCCGAATCTTGATCGATTCTCGATGCTTCCACCCCAACGGTCATTGCGGTTGTTACATGTATCCTGCAAGAACTGATCGCAAAGGTATCCATTGGCTCCGTGAATCTCCACTCCGTCAAAGCCAGCTTCCATGGCATTCTTTGCCGCTTGAACATAGTCTCCGATGAACTCTTGGATTCCGTTTTCATCTAGTGGCGTAGGAACAGCGCTTTCCTTAGAAATGGGGATGTCACTGCTAGAGACCACTGGATGGCCATCTGCAGTCAAGACTCGCGAGTCTGCCGCCCTTCCCAAAGCCCACAATTGACAGAAGATAAAACTGCTTTTGGCATGGACTGCATCGGTGATCTCTTTCCATGCTCTGATTTGCTCATCGTTATATATCCCAGGTACATTGTCGAAACCTCCCGCGCGGGGCGAAATAAAAGTGCCTTCCGTGATTAGCAACGTTCCTGGAACCGAAGCGCGGTCTGCGTAATACTCCTTAACGAATGAAAGAGGGACATGATTGTCATCCGCGCGAAATCTAGTTAATGGCGCCAGAACGATACGATGTTGCAAAGTAATATTGCCGATCTGGAGTGGACTTTGTATATTCTCCATATTTTGGATTGACCGAGAGCGAAAGAATGTCAGGAGCCTGTTTCGCCGATTTTACCGCTGATGCATATATGTTCTGCGTAGAAGAGTAGAGAAGTGGTTCAGATTTCACCCACCAGAGTAGAGTAATGATCAACGTCGAAACTTTGAACAACGTTACGTGAAATCTGGCACTCGTGGCAAACAAATAGAGCATGGGGTGCGCTTTCACCGCTTGCACCGGAAGGATTAATCCTTGGGGTGGGGCCACCCATCTTGATTTCAAAGCAGATTTATCCTCTAACAAATAAGCTGCCGTCCTCTTCAATTTTCCAATGCTGAGCAGCAGGCATATAATCCTTTTTGCGGATGTGAAGGGGAAGGGAGCTTTAAATAGGAATCCATAGGGCTTTCAAGGGTAGTTAAGAGTATATAACCACGTGGAATTTACTCTAGAAAAATCGTGGCCCCTTCTTGCTAGAAGAAACGAGCCAAACCCACTAATGGAGCTCCCGGATGCAGTGTTGCAGGATTGGATCTCTTGAATAATAGATAAATCAAGCTGCTCCTTGAGTAGTGGTTGACATCCGCCCGCCTAAGAAGAGCCACCAGGTCGCTCGCTGCTGGTGCATACACACGTCTGCTGTCGTTGGAATTGGGGTCAGCAACTCCTTGAGGGTTCTCGCGCCACGTGGTTCATATCTGTCGCAGCACTCACTGTCATTCCCGGCTGGTTAAGAAGTTACGTCGAGTATTAGTGATTGTATAGTAGAGATATGGAGAAATCAATATAGTTGTAGGAGGTTATATGTTGGTAGTAAGGGAGCGTATACTCTAGAAACGAAAAAAAAGGCGACAGAAGGAAATAGAGAAGAAGTATTACTGTAAGTTCATGTTATGTGCATCTCTTTCGACCTATTTTAAAGCACCCTCCTTTTCCTCCTCCAAAGAGCGACAGCCGCTAGGTAGGGCTAGGCGTTGCCGCTAACTTATACAAGGAGCGTTTTCAGCAACAGGATCATGAACCCATCATGGTAGGGTAGGGTAGGATGAAAGAAACCGGAGGCGGGATATTGTGAACATGACAATTTTCACACTAACGTGGACAGCATGGAAATGAGTACCCCGTACATTGTAAGGTGTATCTCATGAGACGCGCAATGTATGCTCATGATGTAACTAGCGGAGAGAGACCTTCTTCCCCTGGTCATCTGACTTGGATCAAGAGTCTTGTTGAAACATATCTCCAACCCACCTTATACTCTGTAGTTACTTACCCTTACGCTGGTTGGTAGTTATATTGAGAATCTGCCGGTCCGGAGATTTTCCACAAGCTAACTATCCCACCCCACCACCACCATTCGGGCACTTACGCAGCGCAGCTTTTAGTCTCCTCAAGTTCTCGATTTTAGCGCCTGAACGTGGTTTAGTTGATCTTCGACTTTGGGAGGAATGCCAATTTTGTATTTTGTGCGGAAAAGGCGCTCCCTCCGTTTTTGTAAATTGTAATATCAGTTTCCTAGATCATAATATGTGTCACAACCAACCTTCATCTGGCAGAGCAATGGAATATGTATGGAATCCACCCTGTAGCGTTTTGCGGGAATCCAAATATTCAAATGCCAAAAGAAGCAACATCTTATCCCGGAATGGACGGCAAGTAGCCAGACCACATGTAACACGCCAACTCAGATCAAGCGGGTATGACATTTCTACCTGTCCATACAGTAGGTACCACTTTCTTTGAAGAGATATCCAGAACCAATCGAAGAAGCTCTGTGACATCTCTGGATCTTGGGGGTGCATGATGCCAATTAGGTATCTCGTTTATCATCTACGAATCACAAACCCGCTTATCGATGCCTTCTGTTGACGGCTGTTAGCAACTAGCCCATCTATGAATAGTCCCTATTGCAGGCAGCGAAGCACAGTATTTCTTTCGATTGAGTTCCTGCAAGAGCCACGTACTTGCCCGTATAACTGTTAGAGAAACCCCCAAAATGAGAAAAATGGTGACCATCTTCTGTTGCATCCAGCAATGGGAAAGTGCCCCGTATTTATAAATCCCTTGCTGCAAAACTATACTGCATAACACAGACAAACATTACAATCGGCGCACCTTGGTCCAATAGCTTTTGGATAAGTGCCTGGGTTGAAATTGAATGCAGGTTCCGGAATATATCTCCTAGTGGTAGCCCACTTTGGAGCGATTTGGAGATGCCCAGGACGGTTCAATCGGCATACCACTTGCCCCTCAAACCCCTTGTATTTGCGGGGAAGCTCATGGGATCTATCCCCGCATTTCCTAGCATACGGCGGGCCCTTAAGAAGTCAGTTTCGCATCCATTGTAGTAGAAGAAAACAAACATCGACTCCAGGGCTCAAATAAACATAAAGCAATCAGCGCAACGAACAAAACGAGTTCTCTATTCCGATATGGCCTCCCTTGCAAAAATGAGATGGGGTACAATCCCGCTCCAGACCACTTATAGAATGGCACCGCAAAGTGCAGTATCGCGATTTCCAGGATGTCTTGGGAGGTCAACAACGCCATTTGGCGATAAAGGCTTAGGTAGTAAACGGGAGGCTTCGACATCGACAAAGCAGCCTGTAAACCTCAGTGCATCCATCGCTTCAAAACTGTCCCTTGACGGAAAGGTCACGGTCATCACAGGTAAGCATCAGTGGAGACATCCTCATAGAATCCATTCGAAAATCATTAACTTTCTTGTAGGAGGGACCAGGGGAGTTGGGTTGGCGCTTGCTGAAACAACGGCTGGCCTCGGTAGCGAAGTGGCCCTTCTTGATATTATGGAGCCTCAGGTGGACATAAACAAGCTGCAGAGCCAGTTTGGGACGAGAATAAAATACTTTAAGTCCGTTAGAACCCATACTGTTTCATTAGCCTCCGAATAGATACTGACAATTGAGCTTGGGGTAGAGCCGATGTGACGCAAAAGGGAAGTCTAGAAAACGCGTTTTCAGCGGCAGCGAAAGAATTTGGCCACATCGATAATTGGTAAATATGCCCAGTCGGTCTCGAACCATGTGCATTTGGCTGACTGCTTTGTGATATAGCGTGACCGCTGCGGGGCTTGCATTGGACAAACCCTTCTTAGAATACGGGTGGGAGGAATCCAGGCGCATTCTTGATATCAATGTGAGTCTCTACATGCTGATATCCCGTTTATCTCTTCGATAAACGGCAGCCTGGAAGCAGGGAGCTAACCGCCACAGGTTATTGGTTCCTTCTTTTCTGCTCAACTGGCAGCACGCCAAATGATGCAACAAGGCACTGGTGGCTCGATCGTAATGATCTCGTCCATGGCAGGCCACTGCGCCATACCGTCGCAGAGGGTTTCCATGTATGGTGCATCGAAAGCAGCAATCAAGTTGCTAGGAAAGTCCCTAGGGGTAGAAATGGCACCACACAACATCAGGGTCAATACCCTCTCTCCAGGGTACATTGCGACTGAAATGACAGAAGGCCTCACAGAACTTGAGCAAATTGTCAACCGGATCCCGCCGATGGGACGAATTGGCCAGCGGGACGATCTCACCATGGCAGTCGCATACCTGTTGAGCGAAGGGGCTTCATACACCACAGGGGCAGACATACCTGTCACCGGAGGATTGCACAACGGTAGAATAGAACTTTGATCTCGTGAAGGGAGTAGTACACTTATGGTAAACGCTGAACTTTCTTTCTCCTGTTGGCGGCTGAGTGAGGTGTGGATCGATGGCCCATCAAATTGTGCACCGCCTATACCACGTGATTTTGTTTTATGTAACCGGAGTACAGTAGTTAGGTAGAATACAATCCAACTCAGCTCTCTTCTCAATCAAATACCCATTCCCTGTACAATTTCATCGAGGACGCCAGCACAGCCTGTTGGCGACAAGGCGATAGAAACTCCATAATCCATTCTATAATAGCTCAAAGAAATGCAAGTAGGACAGGTCGGGTAGGAAGGCAGTTTGCGAAGGGGTGTCTTGTCAATACGCCCTCATTCAATTCTCCTTCAATTATCCAAGGCGCTGTATTCCAGAATCCGTGTCAATAAACTTCTATCGTTCTCATCTTCTATCACCCTAGCTCATAACTCGTCTTCCAAATGGCTACCTGCGCCCACACCGCCAAACCCTAAAACTTCAAACGCCCCTAGATCAGCTCTATAAACCGTCCTCTTCTTGGGCAACTTCCCGTCGACAAAATCTGACCTTACGGCCTTCGCCGTACAGGTACTAGGATGACGGAAGAATTTATGCCATGTCCACCACGGGTGAGCAGCATTCGCTGGCAGACTGCGCGGAGCTAAATGGGGTACAGGGGTCATATTTCCCGTTGATAAACAGAATTGGGAAATTTTGTTTTTGGCCTTGAAATGTCCTGCGTAGCGGTCGGCGGTAGTAATCTTCCATTGTGCGTAAGGCCAGATTCTCCCAATGAAACTGTGAAATTTTGCGTCACGTTCAGGGACAGGAAAGCCGACATGTATGAGTTCGACCATGATGGTTAAATCCATGACGATGTCAAGATCGAAGTCCCAACCAACAAGCAACTTCTGTTCAGCTGTATCCATGTAAAAACCTTTTGACTATGAGTTCATCAGGCGTAGTTCATAGAGGCCGTGGAAATAGGAGGTGTAGGGGTTAAAGAATTACACACCTTTGTTCAGTGTTTGGCTGAACTCGAGAGGTTGAGGCTCGTTTCCAACTCAAGACGCTAGCCTAGTTTAGATTAATTAGATCAATAGCTAAACCCAACCTCACCATACTTTGAAATCAAGTTCCTCTGAAAACACATACAATCATTCCAACTGAATCTGATGCAAACTGTTGCAAAGCAGTAATTATAATCTTCCGTTCGCAAAAGGCTCAAAATGTATCTTCTTCTTTTCCACGCGGATAACAGGGTTTCAGGGTTGGCTCCATCTGCAAGGGTGTTGTCACCTTCATGCAACAACAATTGGTGCAGAGCCGTTGGTCCAATATCAGAGGCCATCATCTGTGGATAATGTATGTCAAGCCCGGCCTATCACAAGTACTTCCTCAATTTTCCACTAGCCTCTACAATTCCAATACGCTCCCAATAAGAGATTCATCACCAGCGGGCAAGTTCGTAGAAATTATGGAGTACGGCGATTCGGATTGTTACGGCCGTGACTCCAGAATGATTTATGCTAGTCGTCCCCCTGTTAAAGAAAAATAAGGTGACTTGGAATCTCATCGTGATGGTTCCTGTATCCTAATATCCCGATCTTTCATCAAGCCAGGTAAGTATCGCTTTTAAAAGCCGAGAAAACAAACCGTCGTTGGTATGGTAAATATTGCACTACTAAATGTGATGGTTCATCCGATAAGAAGAATTTACCTGTCGGTAGCACCAAACATGTGGTTATTGGAGACTTATTATTAAGTTAACTTCCAACAAGAATGACTATTTTACCCGTTGAGCCGTGAATATTATTAACCGATTGGTAGCAGGTAGCAGAACATAAGTGGCCAGGTATCATTGATACTCTTCTTTCCCTTCGAATTTTAGATAGACTAATAATCTCGGCCAAGCTTGTAGTAAACATTATAAAGTCTATAATCCAATTTAAACATGTAAACTTGAAACAATCGTTGCTCATCACAGACAAAAAAACTATATTATTGACCTACATCGATAACGGAGCAAGCGGTGTGTAGGTATGATATTGTCACATCCAGTCAAAGAGAAACAACAGTGTCAGCTGTCCATTCATCTGTATCGCCTGTGCCCAAGGGAGTAAAACCGTTCATCATTGCCTTTTTTTTTTTCGCGTCCAACCTTGCTGCAAGTTTTCACCCTTGATCCACGAAACTAGGACGTTGTACCTCGTGAATCTAAAATGAAACCGGGATACTTGCATATTGTGCCATGTCATACCTTTTTGAGCATGATTGTGTGATCGGGGGAATTACGACGCCGCGATGGATTGACGAGTGATATGTTCCTATGTCTGAGCCTATTACAACTTCGCTATGTATGGCCTTGACATATGGAAAATCCGTTATTTTGCTCATTATTTCTTGTTTATTTTGTTAAATACGTACACACACACCCAACCATCGTCGCCTGCTACAAATGTCATTGGCTCCCATCATCGAGGTAGATCGCGAGATAAGGGAACGTAAATACATGAAGGGATGGCATTTTTAATTTTGAAGTCAAAGAACTGGCGCACGTAAATATCGAAGGTACATTTTCTATCCAGCTAGCATTATAAAAAATGCTAGTTAGAAATGTACCCAAGCAAATGAGGTTGGACTGAAGGTAAATAGAAAGAAACATTTACATAGAGTCAAAATCTGTGAAAACGTTCAAGGAAAAGGGAAGAGAGAAGAAACAACTGGGCAGGTGGGATAGTTAGTCAATATTTGCAAAAAGAAGAGTTTAATAGAGGTGAAACAACGCTGTATATATTGCCGGGGGCATCGAAATCGTATAGCAATCAATATAAAACATAACATTTGGGATTTAGACATTAAGGTGGTGGGCGTGGTCCAATGATTTGTCTCCTGACACCATCAAACAGCCCGGGACCACCTCTATTCTGGTTATCTCCGCCCATATAACCATATTGGTTCACGTCCCACGCGCCCTCACCCGGCGCCGTGCCCGCTGTACTAACCCCTCGTTTCACGGCTTCCTTTGTTTGCTTCTGGTTCTCTTCCCATTCGCGCTGACGTTCGCGTTCCCGTTCCATTTCGCGCTCAAGTAGCGATTTGGAGGCCCAGCCTCCAGCTCGAGTTTTCTGAGTTGAAGCGGCACGCCTGGCATTCTCCTCGTCAACTTCTAAAGTTGATGAAAATTCAGGAGGCCTATGAGAAGCCGGGTGCGCGGGTTCGGGGGCTTGATTTTTATCTAAGAAACGGTCTGTGCGACTTTTATTAGTGTAGTTCGCGGGGTCTGGTAGAGGGCGGGATGGCGATGGTAGATTCGTATTTTTAGGTAGTACTACCGGTGGCTTAGGGAGTGACTGCGGAGGTAGAGAGGGTGGGGTAGGCTCGTCAGCAGGAGCGCTATCCTGGGAAGCTTGCCACTCGGATCTAAGTAGCTTGCGCTCTTCCGCTAGGGAAGATGCATCGTAGCTAGGCTTCACCGGGGTAGGGCGGGGGTGGCTACGGCTACGAGATTGGTTCTTCCGCGACTCCACGACTCCTTGATTGATCCCGCGAGACCGAGCGAGTTCCTCGCGCTCGCGCTCGTACTGACGCTCTCTTTCCTTGGCAAGCTCAAGTTGCCGCTCGAGTTCTTTTATGCGTTCACTTTCACCAGATGCAGCCGTGGGCGTTTTGGCCTGAGAGGCTTGATACTGGCTGAGAAATTGGCCGTTCAGTCGGGAATTACTGAGCTCTTTTTTCCGTAGTCGTTCCTTTTCCAGGCGTTCTTCCGTCTCTTTCTCCTCCAGGCTTCGACGACGCTCTTCTTCCTCCCACTTGCGTTGCTGCTCTGCCCATCGGCTCTTCTCTTCTTCTGCTTCCCTCCGTTCTTTCTCCCTCAGCTGCAGGGTTTTCTCCTGCCACAAGCGTTCCTCTTCTGCCTTGGCTCGGATTTCTTCTTCTTCAAGCGCTGCTCGTCGTTGGCGCTCTTCGTCTTCTCGTTGCAACCTTAGCTTTTCTTCTTCCGCTTCTCTTTCTCGCCTCCTCCTCTCTTTATCCGCTAGGCTAGGCACATGTGGCGCGGCACTTGTAATTTGCCTTCTGGCACCAAATGATATTCCAAGGTTGCCCTGATTTGCCCCTCCCATGTATCCATATTGGTGTATATTCCAAGCTGGTATGGTCGTGTTTTCCTCTTCTTTATTGGACCAAGCACTAACAGCATGCTTTGGTGATGTGGTATTAGAGGAGGGTTTGGAAGGGCTGTTTTGTCCAGAAGTTGAAGTCTTTCCAATGGGGTTAAAAGTGGCCGAACGCGATTCACTAGCGTTACTAGCACCTCTGCCCCGAGTGTAAGACGGCCGGCCAAGACCAGCACCTTGGCTAGACCCAGTAAGTTGAGGACTCATGGCGTCGCCCTTATTCTTAATGCCAATCGCTCGCGGAAACTTCCCCGGTTGAAGTGCATTGGCTCGCCTGCTAAAGGATCGGATGCATTGTAGCACCTGCGCGGGATCTTTGGATTCGTAGAGATCGACGGTAAGAAATACGTCGTGCGGCTGGAGGCTCAGAGGCGCGACTTGGCATGCGCGGAGGAAATGCGATATGTTTTCCATTTGAACGAAAGGCATGGTTGAGTCTCTGTATTTTACGCCCGGAGAAACGGCGAGATTAACAAGCCTTGCATAGTTACGTTAATAGAAAGTCCTACGCAAATCAAACAAAATTCAAATATGCATAGTCAACTTACCGACAAAGAATTACTCCACTCTTCAACAATTCTAATAAATCTCCCCTAGGTAATTTCTCATGCAGTACCTCCTCTATCCACTCCCGGATTTCATTGGCTGCCTCCGGTGTATATCGTGACAGCCGCAGACTGCGAAGGTCTCTGTCTAACGACGAAACCGATGCCATGATGAAAGCTGGGGATTTTCCGTTCAGGAATCAATGCGGTATTCGGAACTCAGGAGAAGTGTAAACGGTTGCTAGCGCACAGGCATCCAGGCGGTAGGAACTCGCGCTCTGCACGATTATCTCAAATGAATCAAAGGAGAATAGGCCCATAAAGCATATAAAACTGGCTATAGTTTTGTGCGCTAGGTGTGTTGCCCATTGATGGGGAGTTGGCGGGTGGTCGGGAGTGAAGGCGAAGGATGGATGACGACAAGCGGGTATGGTTGACATAAATAGTCAGCACGCGCTAAATTTGTTTGCGGCGAACACTCGCAAACGCTCTCTGAAAATCAACCATTTCTCTCACGGCCATGCTACGATAACAGTGCAGGGGTGTATTGGGGTGTTCTAGGGCTAGAATACATATGTTCTACCCAGACCATAAATATGAGCCCGATAAATAGCTTGTGGTTCAAGTGGAAGAGCCTGAAGCTTCCCTGGCGCAGAACCTTTCTCGCCGGTAAGTTCACAGACGAAACTCCGTCATAGATGCTCCCTCTAGCTTGGTGACTGCTTTATTGGAATAATATAAAGAGCTCTTCTAATAATTCACAGGAAAGGACCTGAATGGAAATACTTTCTGGGAATTTAAGGACGCTCTCAATTCCAAGCGACTCCGGCGCATCGTGAAGTACAACCCGAAAACCCACCTTGCGGATGTGAAGGTTTCCCGTGAGTCATTCGCCATAACTATCCCTCGTCTCAAACCTGCAGTTAATCATTACAAATCCATAGTCCATCTATCTTCTACAGATATGCTGCTAACAGTACTGGCATCCGTAGCGCAATGGCATCAGTGGCTTCGGTACACTCGCCAGGAGCCCCCAACCATACAAGAACAGCAAAACGACCTTCTCCGGCAAGAGCGCATGAAACATCTCGCCAAACTCGCAGATGAGCGATGGGCTAGCAAGCCCTCGTTCCTGGACAGGCCACAGGGACAGCAGTCCGGTCCCACAACGAAACCCTCCCACGAACCCCATCACTCCGCCGCCCAACCTGACCAACCGGCAGGGGTACAAAACACCATCGAGAAACAGCCAGTACCCAATGGTCAAGGTAACAAAAATAAATCCCCCTGGGCTCGAGAAACCGGTGGACCAAGTGAGAAATGGCAACCTGAATCGTGGAATCCAACTCCAAAAGGCAGATAAATTTGAACATCTGATGGTTGGGATATCAAACTAACATGGGATTTCGCCAACGGTTGGGCTGGAGAAGACATATTTCAAAAAAAAAAAAAAAAAAAAAAAAAAAAAAAAAAAAAAAAAAGACCCTCTCCATTGCGCACGACAGAACGAACATTGGGTCCCTCTGCTTTCCGGACAAAACTTGTGGATGCCTAAAGTTATCGTTGGATAAAATTCGACACCAATCCCGTCAGGCACTCACACACCCTACAACCGAATTCTTGTACAATACACTGGTGGCGATTTTCGGAATACATATGTAAAATAAATAGGCTGAAAGGTAATAGAGGTAGGATGCCAAAAGGAATGGGTCAAATTCGCACCCAACATGCGACATGGTTGCTGCTACTCTGATAATTTGACTTGACTGGCATGAAATCTGTGGCGTCAGGTCTAAGAGATTTATCTCCCCTTTCACTAAGAGTATTGAATAAGAAATGCTCATTATCCTGTACATTATTGATACTCATATTAATGAAGTTACAAATATTTTACTCTTCAATGCTCTCTTGCAGGAGTGGTTATTGCAAATGTTTCAACAATACATCCGAGCCATTCTGTCTTACATACAGTTGCCTGGAGTGACAGATATATATGTGCTTATAAAATTATCATGCTTTACAAAGGAGAGTGAATCATACATCCACACTTATAAATCATTAAAATTAAAGTTTCACTTTTTTATTATATTTAAACAAAATTCTATATGATTTTTGTTTCACTCATAATTTTCTACTGGGTATCTTTTCAGTTCTGTAAACCATTCGGATAAGCAAATACTAATAACAAAATACACATAACACCTTAGCGCCAACATACATCGAATGTGTCCATAGGTACATTTTCCAACAAGTGTGGGTTGGGCACCGACCGCTCGAACCAGATGCCACGGCATGATATACAATCTACACAACATAACGTCCTGTACTCCGCACCTGCGCAAAATCGTAGTACGCCTTGGGAGAAGGGGAGAGAAAGGAGGCGAGGTCGGCTATATGCATCGGAATATTTATCAGGTATGTCTTGCAAACCTCGAGTCGGAAGTGTTTCCCACCTAACATTAGGTCGTGATATATATATATATATATATATGGTTACAACAACCGTTGCTTGTTTCAAGTGCACGGGGTTATGCAGCATTAGGAGAATGGGAAAGACAGGGGGCAAAGGTGGAAGAAAGAAAGAAAGACAACCAATGGATAATAACCATTGATTGTAAGTTGGTTGTTGGTTTACTTGGCCTTTGTATCTTATTTGAACGTTGGCATTCGTATTAATTGTGCTGTTGGAGGCTAGAGGTATCAGAGCGGCGCTGGTGAGAGCCGTGGAATAAGAATACCTTTGTCGCTAAGAAAAATCAAGGCAAAATAGCAATTGTAGGAGCGGTGGGGGAATCAATCAAGGGATATAGCAGCGTAGGAGGTCCTTGTATCTGCAATACAGAATGTAATTCTTCAACAAGGAGCAAAGTGTAACCAAAACAGAGATCAATCTAGGTACTCGAAGTGACCCAGGTATGCAGCAGGGCGAAAACACTTGTTAATCACAAATAGAAAAAAAGAAGCAGAGCAAAAAGAATTCAAATAAATTTTTATGATCCCTCTATTATGTAACTAGCTTCGTTTCCATCTTAGCTTTCATGTGCAGATAATCATTATACGTTGTAAGGTATGGTTGGCGGCAGTTTGATGTTCTTCCCTTGTCTTCAACAGAAAACTGCTTCAAGCGCCTCAACATCGCCGCCAGCTCTTTTAATTGCCAGCATGGCCGCCTCGCTGAGTTTGCGTTGTTTTTCGCGTGCTTCCTGCTCTCTTCTTGCCTTGGTCTTGGAGCTTCCGCTTGGTGCCACGCCTGTTAGAAGCTTTTGGCTATCCTCAGGGGTAAAATTCACAAAAGAAACACTCATTGGGCGTTTGGCGGTTGGATTTGAATTGCTGTTTGGAGTTATATGTGCTCCTTTAATACCCCTCTGCGAATTCGTGGGAAGATTAGAGGCTTTGCGGATATGAGTCCTGCGTTGATGTTGTTGGTCGTGAGGACGTATTTCTGGCTTTGGCTTTGGCAGCCGGTTGGTTAGGTTGGTGGATGTTGATCGAAGAGGTAAGCCTGGGGATTTGATGTTGGCTAGGGCTGGAGAAACGGGTTGGCTATTACGGGGCGGTGCATATTGTCGTTGGTTCGGGGCCCCTAATGGTGAAGTCCGGGAGATATTATCTCGTGTCAGTGCAAGAGGCGTATAAGGTGTACGAGCCATATCTTCTGGACAAGATATTGCAGAGGCGGAAAGAGGAGGTTCTCCCACTGATCCCATATCTGGAGATTGCCCTAGGTGCATCATGTTGGTACCTTGCAGTACTCGCGTCTGGTGGGTTCGTGGCCTTTGAGGGGTTGGTGCCATGACTATGGGTTGGTAGGTACTCTGAGAGTAAGAATTGATGTCTGATGGCTGCCACCAATTTTGGTTATCAGGTGTTTGAAGGTCCGGCGTCGAGTAATGGAAGGAAGGTGCATCAATGGACTCGCTATTCCATGACATAGACGACGGCTCGGATGGTTGGGAACGTAAAATATGATGGCTAGGAGGAGAGTGACTCGGGCTAGTAGATGTTGCTGGTCTCTGTTGGTTGACATAAATATGCCTCATGTCTTGATCCGTACAAGGGCCTGGGATTGGTGTACTTTGCGGTTCGTTACTCATGGTAAGTAGGTAAGCAGGCTTTGCGACGTAGTCGTGTTGCAATCCACTATCTTGCCCAGCCAAACGTGATATGTTTTCGGGTTGCCCTGGTCTCGGTGATGATGTTGGAGGGAGCGGGGTGCGGTAATCATGAGCGTGTATGCCGAAGCCCTGGAAACGGTTTGGCCATGATGTGTGGTATGCCATTGCAAGGCTCGCGTGCCCTGAGGAGTGCGTCAAGTCCAAGTGTGAGGTGTGTCTGCGGATCGATTCTCTGAAGTTATTTAATTCATGATGGCGAGTTCCACTTGGTGATGAGGGGTTGTTCTTGTATATATGCTGGGGAGGCGAAGGTGGTGAGGATGTATATAGACTGGGATCCTTGTGATCATGAAACATAGCCTCCAAACCAGGGCCAGGGTCTCCAAATTCTGAATAGCTATGACTGGAGCCAAAATTATGTTTATCATGCATTTCCAACGGTTGGTCAGAATGAAAGGATAACAGGCCATTGCGCAGATTACGAGCCTGCAACTCCTTACAGGGTGTTCCTGCATCAAAGAGGGTGTTGACATCACTGGAAAAGGGTGCATCTTGTGCCTCTTTGTCGGTAACATCATGCAATGGTTGCATATTAATGTGCTGAGTAAACATAGCACGGAGCGAGTGCTGTTTGGAGAAATAATTGGCGGGGGCTTTGTCGACCGTTTTCATCAGATTTTTTCCACCTGCTTGACGTGATAATTAGCTATGGAGGAGGGGCAGAGAAGGCACCTTTATAATTTAAAGAAGAGGATGGGGGGGGGGGAGGGGGGGGGAATCATACGCTCAGCAATAAGGACTCAGGGATTTTCCCCCGCAACTGGACCTACTGGCTTTGACAAAGGATCCCCCCAGGTAATTGATAACTGTGGGAGAATAACGCTCATATAGCAGAGAGTAAAACAAACAAAGCACCAAGGCAACGCGCCAACGACGAGTGTTTGGAAAAGTCAAATCAGGCTCCAGATAACATATTCAAAAGGGTCCCCCTCAGTATGACAATATGCTTCATTCGAGGGGCAGCTGAATCTCGTTTTCCGGGAGAAAAAGAAAAAAGTAGGGAAAAAAATAAAAAATAAAACTAAAAATAAAAGGAAGCCTGCGAGAGAGAAAGGGGGGTGCGCTTTTTATGATCCAGGCTAATTAAGAAAAAAGAAGTTAAGAATTGCCAGAAATGATTTACGATCAGAATAATTCAAAGATGGTCAGTCATCCACCGTCGCTGTGGCACCGCCGTGGACCCAGCATTTTGCTCAGGCCATGAGTGAAATAGTTGTGGGCATGCTAGATAACACTTGCAGTAAAATCGAGACCCCGAAGCAAGACCACTACCGTGGATAGAAAAAGCCGTTAGGGTTTGAAGCAGTGAAGACAAAGGAAATGGAGTCTAGTAGGACTAAAATAACAGATTAGTAGAAAAGAAAAGAAAAAAAAACTAAGCCCCCTAAAAAACTCTAAATGAGATCTCCTGATCTCATGGGTAAGAATGCCCATCAAACGTAAGAAAAATGCAGATACAGCATGGAAAAGGAACTACCACAGTTGCACAGGATGGGGTCCATGCAGAAATAATAGAAGCCTTACGCAGGTTTGAAATTCCTCGACATGTTCCAGAACTAGCATGTCTTTGGTTGAAACTGAGATATATCCAACGGCCGCTGGCTTATACACCGCAGGTAGGTAAATCGCGCCTGCAATGCAAAGGTAATTGGACCAATATGAGGTAATTGTTGATAGGTACTAAAGTGTGGTTACGACGAGGACAGAGGGGGGGAGTTCGAGATAAACTTCCAGTAAACTCGCCTGGTCATCGATGTGATTTGCGGAGGGGATTATTATGATGCGTAATAAAAACGCCCAAATGTCCTCTCTCTTCTCCACAGGGAAAGCGTTAAAATATGGGTAAATCCCAGGCTAATGGTGCCTGATCAATCGTACCTATGCGGGAGTTGATTCCGGGGGGATTTTCACTTGAAATCTTCCGGCCCAAAAACAGCGACCCCATAGGATCCTCATCCGCAGACGTTGGGTAGATGTAAGCATAAGGCGACAGTTCGGCATTCACACTGTACACGCCGTCCACGTTCGCGCGGCTAGAAGCGCTGCATGGAGGATGAGAGCACGTTTTCTGGAACCCACGGCTACAGACTCGTGGTCGAAGGATGCACTTGAAGCCCATGACTTGGAACAATTCCACGTTTTTGGCACAGGCGCCCTTCATTTTACGGGGTAATGAGGTTGCTATCCAGTTCAACAATTAACAAAGACTGTCAGGATTCGCCGCTACGTCGATCCTTTGTCTCAATGACCAGGGGGCGAGCGGGGCGTAGACGATCTTTTCCAGGGCGGAAAATAAAATTTTGAGTACATAGTACTTATATATCGTATGTACTTGGCAACGATGCCCATGAATAGACCATTCAAGCTCAGAAGCACAAGCCACACTGACCAGGCCTTTTTTTTTAAAAAAAAAAGGAAAAAAACCATGCAGGGACGTCGTTGGGCTTGATATTGGAAGAGGGGACATATCCCCGATGAGCCAGCCATGACCGGGATGCAGCCTTCTCAGCCAACAATGGTACCACATTGCCGGTAAAGAGAAACCTGATTATGATGTCAGCTGCGATCTGGCGATAATAGTACGGATTCGAAGACAGGCGGTAAGGATAGGAACTATAGCAATAGCGTTTTGGGGTGTGGTCTTTGTGAAAGATGAAAGCTTTTTTGAGGTTGGAGGCTCCTCTTTGTTCTGGTGCTTACATAATCCAGAGCCTAACCTAACGCTTGTCCCCGCCCCCGCCATTTTTAGGCTCAGACACATCCAATTCCGGCGGGGAAGATGGTCTCCCTGTCCGTCTCCTCGGCATGTACAGGCACATTGTGCATTGCGCATTCATTCCGCCGCTATATATGGTATATGGACGTGCTGCAAAGTTGCATGCCTTGCCCCTCTCCTGCGCAAACCCGAGTGATCTTAGACAAGTTCGAGTTTCCATTTAAGGCACTGTTGCATCGTTGGCAATACAGACGCAGTGCGCCAGAGCCAACCAGTCGGATTCAACTTTATCAAATGCAACAGAAGGGGAAGAAATTATTCCCTGCAGTTTCTTCTGTGTGCTTTACCTCTAGAAAATAGCTAATATTCAATACCTACTTATTTTTCTAGGCCGCAGAAACAAACGCAGGATGGATCCACAAAACCTTCAATACCAAATAAAATGGCCTCTATATGTGCGTATATATATATATATATATATATATATATATATATATATATATATGTATATTGCACTCGGACATTATTACAGAGCAGAGCTCAAACAGCATAACAATAACTTATTTTAAAATTAAAATAAGTCGATAATACCTCGTACATGGGCCATTAAATCACAGCATCAGTTAAACACCATGTGAGAATTGGCAGTGTTGTATATAGCCAGGAAGAACACGGCACGAATAGGAGTCCCGCGAAACAATACTGCTCCCAGCCGAGAGACTCCATGGACATACATCTGCTAATTATTGATTAAATGCTAAATTTTTAGTATTTTGAGATTATACCCAGAATTGTTAAATTTATTCATATATGTGTTCGGTTTCCCCTGATTTCATATCAAGCGGCGCACTGGCACATTTTATATCAAAGGAATTGCCAGGAAGCAAAAAGCAGTATTAGAATTTTGATCAGGTTTTGATTCTGCACTACTCCGTAGAGAAGTCTCAATCTCGAGGTAAGATACATAGCAGCAGCACGCTATTCCGATTGCCTTGGATTTTCGTGCTCAATATGACATGCGCCAAATACGTAGTTACCTAGCCAACTTTTTTAGAACAAAAGTAAAAATAGATCCCACTTCCATCATATATGTTGTCAATTCAGTTCATCATACATGAAAATCCAGGAAAAAAAAGAGGGAGCAATGACGTAGCACAGAGGAATAGATTTCAAATCAGGCACAACCCGCGTTGCTTAAAATACGCGGTCATTACGCGGAGATTCTCGTGCCAAGCCCTAACACCGGGCAAAATCCGCTGAGCCAATCCTCATTGATGTATTCCGTATTGGACAATTGGTACGGCGTCCGTAATAGCGATTTATTTGTGACTTTGGCGCCCAAGCCGAATCTCAGCAACAATCATCAATCAACGTCGGGTCAATATCGCAAGCAACCGGAGTTTGAACTCATGGCCAAATAACACCCTGCTCCTCCCCACAAAACGATGCGTTTTACGCTGTCGACGCTGCTGCCATAAAGCTCATCTACCTATCCCAACCTGCAATCGTCTCGCACGCTGAGACTGACCGAGCCGCAATTTGGATATTCCCGTCGCGCCCATCCGGCCGGAACTTAGCCCAGCTACCGAGAAGAATCCGAAGTTTGGGAGCCCGAACGATCTGCTTCCTCGCAGCGTAAACTCTGTGACGCACCGTGTTTTAAAGACATAGTGAATGGCGACTGCTCGCATCTTCGCAGAGACAGACAACCTAGACGACGCTACGATATCGCACTTTCATTCCAGGGAGAGAACCGGAACGAAGCTACCTACCACGACCGTTGTGACACCAGACTGAAAATACTTTGCAGGTGGTTGAAAGAGAAGGAATATAAATACATTCCCCCCCCCCCCCCCGGGAAGTCAGGAGCCAGAACCGGTTCGTTCTCTTACCATCAGCATTCAGCATTCGTTCGAGACATTCACACCTAAATATCAGCATTCGCGAGCCCAACAACCTTATTTAAACAACTAAAAGATACCAAGTTAAATAATGCGAATGAATATGTACTGCAACTTGGCCTTCTCTGGCCCAGTTGCCCTGCTGTGAATGTTGCGGAGTTCTCACTCCGAAAAGATGTCCTCTCAACAGGTTGGGGGAAGTCCCCACCGGCATCATTCACCTTCTTCAATTTCCTGAGATCGCTTGTACCTCACCTCTCCCAGCCGCACGGTTTTTCTCAAGACACCCCTCATCTGTCTGTTATCTCTGTGTTGTTTTGCATAGAATCAGCCTCATATTTCTATAGCCGTTTGGCATTGTATATCCTTGCTGTGCCATCCATCCGTTCGTTTCTGTCGCTCTTCCTGGCCCCTATCGCAAGTCGCCATTTAAACATTTTATTTTACAGGGGAGAAACTAGACGCGAGTTTCAACTCAGGCATTCCTTGTTCAACACGAAAGTTGTAGAGCGGCCTATCGAAATCCATCTGTCGATTCAACGTTATCAGATATGGCTACTCTTCGAGCAGACAGACATGCATCCATTGAAACTATGACTGCCCTGAGCTCGCCCGCAACTGTCATTCAATGCACATCTGAAATCGCTTTCCAATCCACGGATTGGATAATCTCTTGCGCAACCCACGAAACGAAACAGAAGGTCTATGGAGGCCCTCATATACTTGATACCGTTGATGTTAAGGCGTTACTTCCCGTCAATCTGGCCGGTAAACTTCCCGTTCACGCTGAACCCCTGACTTACAAGGCCTCTACATGCTCTGAAAGTCCGATCGCATCCTCCCCTCCGTCGGAAATAGATGATATTGATACTTCGTTATCATCATCATGTTCATCGCAAGCGCCAGTTACAAACCTAAAATCAATTCTAAAAAAACCCACAGAACCACAAAGTCCACATGGCTTGGAACTAATGGATTTCAACTTGGAAGACAGCATGGGGTATGATGCTGATTCTGATATGGACGAGGACGAGTATGAGGACGATGCTAGTGGAGATTCTGAAACAGGAACCTATGACTCAAACTGGTCTGATGAATACGATGAGTGTGAATGTAAGGCCTAGTTACCAAATGCGATTACCCAAGACTTTGGGAAGCTGCTAACATCATTCTTATGAAACTAGATTCGGACCAAGAAGGTTCCTTCGTTTGTTTCGTCAATTCCGTTCACTTTAGCGCCCAGGACGATATCTGCATCATTCCCAGCAGGGATGAAATTGGGGACGACCGTGCAGAAAGTGAAATGACGTTTCACGAACAAGCCCTTCGTATGCAAAGCTCTAAACGCGTATCGTTCGAACCATACAGCGTCAACAAAAAAGACTATGACCCTGATGAACATAGCCATGACGTTATCGATCTTGACAAACAACTTTTCATGGCCTATGTCAATGGTATTCGTAACATGAATGCGGAGGACTATCAGCCTGTTGTCCTTTCGCGCACACTGAATGCTACTCCGTGTGACATTGCGGTTTTGCCAGTCACGGAACATCAAGTAAATGCATACCTTGACCGCGTCGTCGAATCACTTCTCGGGTTCTTCCCATATCTATTTGAAAAAGATGAGTATAACCGCTTACTGGATATCGCCGAGGTTGTTACTTCCTTCGATGATCACAACAACGTCCTTTATGAACCAGATTCTGGCCTGTTCCAGCAAGCAATCACGCGCCAATTAGCGAGAAAACTGACTGATACCGCCGTGATAATCGATAACAATATTCTCGACTGGGTTGCTGGAGAACTCATCGAGCCCCTCGGTCGCCGCGCGTCATTCCGTTGGGGGTAGCATCGTGGATTCTAGATGTATCTAATTTTATTTGCTATTCCCTTGACGCAGTTTTCTGTGCCTTGTCATTGTCCTTTTTTCCCCCCCCATTCACTCAGTTCTTTCTTTTCGTCCTCTGTCTGCGTGTGTGCTTTTCCAAATTTCCTCCTTCTTTCTAATGGTTTCTTGTAAGGGTGTTTCGAGGGAGGGGGCCACGAAAAAGAGATGGATACCATGTTTCAAAGGATAGACAAAATTCCCAGAGAGCGTTTTCGGGACCTCGCGATTAAAAGTCATATTACATATTAGAAAGGTCGCCGTGTTTCATACTAGATAGTTAGAACTCTCATCAGTCAGCTTCCAGCCATTTTTCTCACGCATTTTCCCCTATGGTTCGGTTCGGACCATGGCCTGAATGTAGATTCTTGTTTGTTTTCATTATTGATCTTCAACTGCCAATCGGTAGTACTAATGCCGTGGACTGCCGTCCTTGCATATTTTTGAATCCAGAATCCCTGTATCCTTCTGTTAGAGCCTTAAATGCCTTGGCGTAGTTATTCTACTACTCCAGTACGGAGTACATTGAATGGGAGCTCGAATACTTCATGCACAAGTCGTCATCGCCTGCACGATTGCAAGCATTCATTGCAGCCAGAAACCCAAACCCAAACTCAACCTCCCCGACCCCCAAACATTGACGCCAGCTCGCATTTTCCTCATGTACTGTACATGTAAAGTCCGTGTCCCTATATGTCTAGAGCCTATGGCAGGATTACAGAGCCCCACATTGTCCAAAAACCACTCTATCAACAGGCAAACTGGTCGATCAAACCCCGGTGATGGACAGTTATAAACAAACAAAGAAGCCAGTACCGAGTATACATACCCTATATTCATGGCGGAAAATGCACCGAAACGTGGGAGGTGAAGGACCTCGCAAGGCCATACAGCGACCCCCTGCTTTAGGACATGCTTGTTGCAAAACAGGGAGAACCCATGGCCGCCCGCCTTTTTCTGGTTCTGGTGTCCTGATCTATGCAGCTGCCATAAAAGGAATATGAATATGAACAATAATCAAAGTAACATGGGGGAGAAAGAGGGCAGAAATGAAGGGGGAGACAGGAGAGACAATCGATAAAAGACATGATTTCAACCAGGTTCGTCCCTTCAAGTACGTGGTATCTTCTTGCTTTGGCTCAAGTCATGCGGGGGCTTCTTTCAGTTGCGTGTAAATCTATTTACTCTACATATATCCTCTAGATTCTGGCCCCCAAGTTACCACTGGTGGAGGAGAAGTTGAGGCTCACGGCCCCATTGACAGATGAACCATTGACTTTCCACGCACCGATATCTCATGGACCCTGCTTACCCTTGTGCGAAGGCTCGACCCCAAAGTATGCCTGACCGAATATGGCGTTTTCCGCGACATGTCCAAGGCGTTGCCCTCTCAAGAACTTTGCCCGCACCAGTACCACAGTTTGATAGAGTATCTCCAGGGGGACCAAATCCCCAACCGGCCGTGGATGATGGTGGTGATTAACGGGCATTTTCCCAAATCCGAATGAATACCCAGAATGTCCCGTCTATTTTACATGCGTTGATATGATTATTGTCTTTGTCCAGATAGCTCTTTTGGCTTTTGTTTCTTTCAACTTATAATGCCTACCTTGTTCTCCAACTGCCGTCCAAATCTGCCAGAACAGAATGAAAACCCCCTCTTTCTACCTTCTTTCCTGTCCTCTCGGCCAGCATGCCTAATTCGATCTTGACGATATCTGTTATGCGCGACGCGATAGCGCAGTCCGGGGCCCTATTTAGCACAGGGGAGACGTCACTCAATGCTGTTCTTTGCGCTGTCTTTCAAAATCCCCGCCGGCGTGTTCTTTTCGGACTTACCTGCAGCATACTCCAGTCGTTCCTTGGTTCTGAGATCTGATCATGGCTTTAATCCTCCATGTCGATAGCTAGACTCTTCTAATGTTCCTCACGGTATTTTATTCACACTTCACATATTCGTTTCAACGCACCCATCACATCACCCCTGCCTTGCGACTATGGATTTTCGCCCATTCATTTTGTGGCCCAGGTACCGTTTAATTTAAACTCTCTCGTTTTGAAAGGAGTGGAGGGAAGAATTATCAAGGGCGAGGGGTGTTGGGATGGGCTGTTACCAATCACCCCCCTCCCCCCCCCTCCCCCCCCAAAAACTCCTCCCCAGGGCAATCCAAGTTTCCAGAGAGCGCACTTGCATGAGCATGCCGGAGAATGTTGGACCTTTGGTTTTACTCCTAGTAGAGTGCCGTGTTTCTTCCCGCTTGGTAGCTAGATTTCATCAAAATACAACTGATGCAAATCCTCTCTCAAGCTGACTCGCGCCTCGTTTTCCGAGACCGAATCCCATTTGTGGCTCCAGGGTTTCCGAAAAGGCCATTCCATTACCTGCAGCATCGGGTTTCAATCTCAGGAAAATAAATCAAATTAAAAGGATAGATATATCTGCCTGAAGAACTTCTTGTTCAATTCGGGCATGGTAATGCTTCCGAGCTCTGGCGTGAAATGTCAGACAGTGCAGCTTCGGCTTCGTCCCTTGCTCTAGCTGTCATTGACTTAACTATATGGCATTTCCCAGGAGTTTTGTTTCCTTGGAGGCTGCGATCAGGAGTGTATCGCAGCTTGACCGCGAAGCGGGGCTGAGACTTTCAACTCCAGATTGAACGAAAAAACGATCGCCAACAGGCAAAGGCAAACACGAACGGAGCTGACCGGACCTGCAAATCAGAACCTGTTGCAGTACGGAAACTGGCCAGCTTCAGCAGCAGCTTTTAAGTTCGCGCTGGTCTCGGATCGGCCTCGATAAGGTTTTGTGTCCCTTCGAGCCAATGCGCATGGATGACTACTGACAGGACATTCCTCGTGTCCATGGTGTGAATGCTTCTTTCTGTCAGCTTTTAGCTCCAGTTGGTTGCACCCTATTGAAGCAAGAAGAACAACATGGTTTCCCCCTCTCTCCCGCAGACGCTACATAGAGTAGATGGAGTGAACTCAGGGATAGTCAACCGTTGTATACTGTCTGTGGCACAGTAAGGTCGTCCAGGTCTGGTTAGTATTAGCAAAAGAATCGCATTCTAAGTACGCTGCGTAGATGGTGTCTCTAAGATATCAGATATTGTGGCGGACATATTACTTGCGAAAACAGAATTTTCCCAGCCCCCTCTGAAAATTAGTAGCAAAACACCACCAAAAAATCAAAATATCTGCATTTCTCTAGAATCATTCAATATCATCCAATACACGTCTTTTTCAATCAAATATCATCCAAATACACGTCTTTCTTACCTTTATCATCAAATCCACATATATCAATCAACCCTTTTTTCAATATGCCTCGCAACGCCCGCTGTTCTGCTGCTTCGCAAGCCTGTACAGAGACTCCTACCCTGCGCCTCAGTCTCCCCAAACTACCTGTTCCAGAAGTTCTGGATAATGGAGAGGATCCGGTCAATGATGAGATGGAGGAGCAGATGGATGAGGAGGATATAGAGACTCAGTCTGAGGATCCTTGATATCTGCGAATCCCTACACCTGAGCCTGACATCTCATACAGATTGTATGAATGGGTGATTATCAATGAGATAAAGAACAAGAGAGATGACAAAATGATTAATGAGTAGAAAGAAGAAGAAGAATTAGAAGAATGAATCTATAATTTCTACAATCAATTCTTCTATACAGATCTCTCAAATGTCAGTGATTATATTCCCTCCTTCAGCTCTGGCAGCTTCAACTTCATTCAATATGGCATTCTCAAGTGAGATAATCAATGTGATGATGATGAAATATATGATGAAAGGAATAGAAGAACTGAATTCACAATCTCATTATCATCCACATCCAGATCTGCTGTTGAATCTTCCATCAAATCCGCCGTTGAATCTTCCATCGAATACACTGTTGAATCTTCCATCAAATACACTGTTTTGAATCTTCCATCGAATACACTGTTGAAATCTTCCATCGAATCCACCGTTGAATCTTCCATCGAATACACTGTTGAAATCTTCCATTGAATCCGCCCTTGAAATCTTCCATCGAATACACTGTTGAATCTTCCATCGAATACACTGTTTTGAATCTTCCATTGAATCCACCGTTGAATCTTCCATCGAATACGCCCTTGAAATCTTCCATCGAATCCGCCGTTGAATCTTCCATCGAATCCGCCCTTGAAATCTTCCATCGAATACACTGTTGAATCTTCCATCGAATCCACCGTTGAATCTTCCATCGAATACGCCCTTGAAATCTTCCATCGAATCCACCGTTGAATCTTCCATCAAAATCCACTGTTGAAATCTTCCATCGAATCCGCCGTTGAATCTTCCATCGAATCCACTGTTGAAATCTTCCATCGAATCCACCGTTGAATCTTCCATCGAATACACTGTTGAAATCTTCCATCGAATCCACTGTTGAAATCTTCCATCGAATCCACCGTTGAAATCTTCCATCGAATCCGCCGTTGAATCTTCCATCGAATCCGCCGTTGAATATTCCATCGAATCCGCCGTTGAATCTTCCATCGAATACACTGTTGAAATCTTCCATCGAATCCGCCGTTGAAATCTTCCATCGAATCCGCCGTTGAATCTTCCATCGAATCCGCTGTTCCATCTCCAATTCAAAGCAGTCCAATACCTCAATTTGATGAATACTTCAATTGATTGACAAGGGGACAGTTGCTTCATATGAATATTGACAAGAGTATATTTCAAATTATAAGAGATGGGTTAAAAAGTCCATTATAACAGACAAAATTGCAGAAATTCAAATCATCTTTATTCACTATTTATAGTGATAAGAACAGATCTCATACTGCTTTCACTTCTAAATTTATATTATAATGAATTGTAATCTGAATCTTTCTAATTATTACAATACTATTCTATATAAGTAGATCTGAAATATTCTTTTATATCTTTTTCTCTTATGAAGTTCTCAACTGCATGATGCAAAAAAGCTTCAATATCTCCATCAAATCTCTTCAGAATTGAAGAGATATCTGATATGATCTTTGACTTTATATCACATGTTGAACAGAGTTCTCTAGCAGTTTCAAAACAGTGAAGATTTCATTGAATTCAATATACACAGGTGATACTCAATGCTTCGCGCGATCTCAGCAGGCATATAATCATTCTTAAGAAGGTGTACAATCTTGTTGGTGGTGAAATCACAGAGTTGAGGTAACATATTGATGATAAAGGTAAGAAAGACGCGTATTTGAATGATATTTGATTGAAAAAGACGTGTATTGGATGATATTGAATGATTCTAGAGAAATGCAGATATTTTGATTTTTTGGTGGTGTTTTGCTACTAATTTTCAGAGGGGGCTGGGAAAATTCTGTTTTCGCAAGTAATATGTCCGCCACAATATATCAGAGCAATGGAAGTTTTGGGGAAGGGTTCCTGGACGTCGAATTTAGCGGTGAACTATACTTAACTATCCTATCCCTAATCCCTATGCGCTCTTCAAGACCAGTATCACCCTTCATCATCTTCCCGCAGGCCCCTGACCAGACGTGTTCTCTCATCTTGGAGTTTCGCGTCAGGGCTATAGCACCAAATTAGCAAGTGAAATGAACAAGGTCCAGTTGAACCTTTAATGCACATATCACCATCATCATCCTTCACTAGTAGCAGGATAACAAACACAATCACCTTACCCCTTGAAGGAGTAAAACTTCCCCCTTGGGTAGTATACTTTAAAAGTCAGTATCAGATCTTAAGGATGGCCCCGCGGAAAAATATTGTTAGCGCCCAAAACCGCCCAAGTAACTTCGAGCTCAAACTCGCATATAAGCAAGGCGGACCGTTAACTCCGGACAGATTAGCAAAGTCATACATAATAGTTATCATATCTTATCCAGAGTTTAAATTGGTCATCTTCAGTGCTGTATACCGTCCGGCCTCTGGCGTCAGCCAAGCTTGCGAACAGAGACATCTGAAAAGAAATGAGAAGCTCGGCCGCGGAACAGGTGTTGACAATGCGATCAGAGAGTAAGTAGGTCTTGAGTAGTTATTGTATAGCCATCCTCTCATTGCCACATTCGCATTGGACCATATGGCCATATATCTTCTTTCCCGGCCCCCATTCATATTTTCTCGCAGCTAAAGCAGACAAGGAGCGCCCTTGGTGTTTAACCAATTAGCGGTGGATCTCTTAACCCCTTAGACCACATATTGTGTGTATCAACTTGAACCGCTCTCAGCGAGATAAAGTTTGTGGATCTTAAGAGGTTCAAATTTTACCATTTGCCTCGATGAGACACATAACTAATGTCCACAAGTGCTCGTCAAAACCTACCTGACGAATGACAAAACCTCCTCAGCGATCACAAGGAGGGATTGACACTTGGTGGATCTGTCGTATATGGCTGGCACATTGGGAGGTAGATGACAGAGTACGCCTGTATAAACCCATCCTTTTAAAAGGACAAGCATCTATCTCCTCTTTCTTCTATGTTGCATTTGGAGCTATACCACACTCCAAGGATCATCCACGCACCATGTGGGCTACTCAGGGCTTCTTTCCAATACCATTCATTCAACGATGAAGCTTTTGGAGTAATGGAGGCTCAAGCAGGTGACGAGAAGTACCCTCTGAAATGTGCACTGTATATAGGGGAATCATGACTTGACCGATATGGTACGCAATCAATTTTTCAAATCGTAAATCGCGGGCTCTCATCACATCCAGCTACTGCAGAATTTTGCCCTCGGGAATGCAGTACCGTTGTCCCTGATTGCAGTCAGTGTGCCTTTTAGCGGCAACACATGCACATGCAGCTCAAGTGTAAGGCTGAATTGTCATGGTTATAGAATAGAGCTGCCGGGCCCTCGCCCCTAACCACTAGGCCAAACAGACCATAAAACGGCTGGTTCCTATCCAGTCGCGCCCGGCACCCACCTACAGTTACATTTCATCCTGATGGGTATAGGAGTTAAGTGAGAGGCTATAAGAGTAACGGTTCCGAAGCCCAAGCCTGGAGCTGTGATAGCCTCTATAGCAATTGACTGTTAACGTTTGAAACACTGCACCGATAATCCACTTGTGATGTCCAAGTTTTCTCTTGCTTTGCAAGGTTTCCGTGATAGTTTGTTTTTCATCGCCGTCTGCCACTAGTTTTTCACTCGTCTTATCATATATATTATTATTCAAATCGTTCGCCTTTTGAGTAGCGAGCAACGAATGTTATCAGATCCCAACAAAAATTGATCGATTCGATAAGACATTTCTAACTTAAATGAACTTGAGAAGGTATATATCTTCTTGGATATTCGCATGAAAAATAGGAGAGAAAGACATGTAATACTGCCCTCTGAGAATCCTGATGATCCTCAAAAAAAGTAGTAAAAGTCAGGTTCCTGCTAAAAAGGTAATAATTCGAAGAGGTATGAGGGATCAGGAAAAAATACATTTCAATTAAGAAAAGAGATGAGGGAGAACACCTGGAATAAGACTGAAGGTATTGATGGTACCCAGCCACCCATATTTGACTCAAGAGCGCAAACGACTTGGTATGAACTCAGACTATCTTGGTCCTCATGAGCCCACGGACGTCTGCAGAGAAAACGGTTGCTCCCAACTCAAAATATTTCCCAAATAAGTATCAAAATGAACCTCAGCCGGAGCTGAAAGTCTGACGCAAACCAGCGGCCAACAAAAACATGAATCTGATATCTCCATGGATCATTGGTAACTTTCGCAGCCAACGAACATCATTTTGGAGCTCGACGCGCAATCCTGAAATAAGCAATCTCGAAACACGGAACAGGGAGTTAACTAGTTCTTCAAACGGCCCCGTATTATATTTCTAAAGGTTAGTTAGAATTAATAATTTTGATTCTGCACTTCCGTTCTCCTCCATATCCCGATGACGAATGGCGATTAGCACCGCCGAGTGGGCCGTTGGGTTAGCGGGAAGCGGGAAGCCGTTGGGACTTATCCTTGATCTCCCACCGGTCTCCACGGCGTTTTGGGCTCCGGTGTAGAGTTATTCTTTGTGTGCCTGTGCTTCCCGCTTTCTAGTCGGATGTGATACAAGCAACTCTTGGTGTACGAAATGTTGTCTCACCACATTGCGTTTGTTATTCGATTTCTGTTAATTTATGGGAATTGGCGCGAGAAATCGCGTGGTTTATGATGCTGTGACGACGTTCGCGAAGCGTGGTTTCAGGCACATTATTGGAAATACGCGGTGCTTTGCGAAAAAAAATATATTTCTTGGATTTTAATAGCTTGGAGAGCTAATAAGATCCTACCCTCTTGCTCCGCTGAATTTCTAGAGCTTCGGGTTAGAATTGGTGGCATGGTAGGTGGTTGAATGAATTAAGTGCTAATTCATGGACGCGTTTTGAGTTGGGTGCGCGGCAGGCTTACATGCGCGTTTCGCTTACCGATTATGTTAATACTAGCAATAAATGAATATAATGCGACATGGGGTATCTAAGAAGTAGTAAACCAAAAGAATTATGTAGCTATGACGCTGTCAATGGCCTTGTCAAAAGCCTTGATGGCCGGCCTATAGAGAATCTCCGGATCTGTGGGTGTTCCAGTAAAAATTGCATTTCCCTGTATTGGAATCAAGATTCCGCGCAACTCCCTGCAAAGTGGTTTGACACAGTCAAACTCACATGGAAACTCCGCCAAAATGAGCTCAAATCTATTAGCGCCAATGACACCTTCTTTTGCAGTGGCAATCTCTTCATAACTTCCAGTGTACCACTTTGTCAGCAGACTCAGTATACGTTGTCTCTTTGAATTGCAGACAAACACCCAGCCGTGATGACCACACTTCCAGAGAAGAACATAAAAGAATGACTTGAGATCATGCTGATATGTATGGTAAATGTTGAGCAACACCTCAATGGCCATGAACTCCATGATTCCAGTGTGACAATGTGCGCTCCTTCGCAAGGTCCATGTCAATCAACATCCCAGTGAAGCCAGTTTAAATCGGTGATGATTATGTTGTTCTCAGATATATCTCGATGAAGAATGTGTCCCTCAATATAAAAGGATCTGTGTGCCTTGATGGCGTCGCGGAGCGCTTCCAACAGCTCCAGAAGTGAACTGTATTGATGAATTGGCCGGCCGGCAGGAAATATAACAAGACAGCGAAGAATGCGGTTATCATATAGGCTGCTGCTGGGAACAAGCAGACTGGCCCGGGCTTCATCCACATCGTATGTAACCTCGTTCCATAAAGGGTTTGACTGGTTACTGGCAGACCTGGATCACTTTGATGATTTTGTGCCAGCATCAGCTGATTTGTCTCCTATAGTTTCTGCAATAGATAGGCCATGAATATCACTAAATGATGGTGAAAGAGCACTGAGCAGTTGTGACTGTGAAGAGGATGACATCACACTGAGACCATCATGAAAAGAGTAGGGATTTGTAGATGTTATGTTGAAGTGCATTTCTTTGATACTTGTGATAGTGTGATGATCAATCAGTCTTGCAATGTCTTTAGCTTCTCTCTGGTTGGTCAATCTGAGAAGCTCAGCTTCAGACTTCTGTCTGTGAGATGTTCAAGAGAACTTGATGACATGGCTTCAATCTTCATCTGAGTCTGGAGTCTTTGTCAGATAGCAGAATGTTCCACAGCAGATAATTGCTTATTGATGAGTAAGAGGCTCTGACTTCAGCAGCAGCTTTATTTCAGTTTTCTCATGCTCAACATGTATAAAGCAGCAGTCACTGTCCAGCTCTGTGAATGTGTTCAAACTCAGTTCATCATCATTCATCATTGTATAGCTGGCAAGGACCTGTATGAACTTTTCTAGTTCTTTGTGAATATCAAATGAACCTGGGCTGTAGCATCCTGACCGGTCAAAGACCCACAATGTCATAGAAGATCCACAGATAGTAAACACGTGAAGGTAGTAGTGTGTCAGCTGCCAGGCGAACACATCTCACACATATCTGGCGAGCTGAATCAATAGCCCCTTCACACTGTTGTCAGATGCCTTGAGTTCACCTATCACCTCAATGTCTCTCCAGTCATGCTCAGTGTCTGATGTCATTCCACTCTTTTGTTTGAGAAATCAGATCGACTTGCTGCTGAGCCTCACTGCTGATAAATAGCTCTTTTGGGACATTTATTGTGTAGTAGTGTTGTTGCTCTTTTGAGAGAAAATCATCTTGGAGCCGGAACAACCAGCTCAGCACTTTGTCTTGGGTGGGCAGACCCGAAGATTGGCTCATTCGCAATCAACCTATTGGTCTTTTATTGACACGTAGACGTCCTGAGCATGGTCTGTCCAGTCTCTTCCCTCAAAGTATTTCTCAAAGAAACCCTGTACATCCTGATACGTGCAGGTTCGATCTCTTCAAAAATTCTTGCCTCAATCAGCTGTCGAGTCTGTTCACTGCCTTGGTGTGATGCGGAGGAATGCGTGACCGGTGTCCTGTCAAATGCGGAGGAAACGCCTGTCTGTGGGATTGGCGTTACTAGATCGAGAATCGCGTTCCAGATGTCGTGATCTTCACAATGTACCTGAAGTCTCCCTGTCGAATACGTGCGAAGCAATTTGCTAACTCGGAGGCCTTGAACGAAGACTGAAGACAGCTTTTGTCCCCATTAAGGTGATTAGAAGATGTGATACCGTGTCTTGGGAGTTTTTCAGATCTTGTCATCAGCCCCATCAAGAGAACTGACTGTGGAATACAAACGCTCCGACTTTTGTAGCCGGTCGAGACAATCATCCAAGGGATGGTTCTTAATAACCTCACAATCGGCTTCTGATAGAGAAGCCATTTCTTGAATGGAGGGAGATGGATGATGAATGTTAGAGTCACGTGCTGAAGAGCTCAGCTGAGGGTCTTCATCATCGAGACAGGAGTACTCCGTAGATGTTACTACACAGCGTAGAGAGGAACGAACGAAATCGCTGCTCAACAGTTGCGAGACGCTTTGCAATAATAATGAGTCTATGCCACTGCTACGAAATTTAATTTTCTTTGCAATCATCATGGAGTTCGTTGAGGGGCTAGCTTCTTGGCCCGTCAGATTGAATGATTTAGTTGAAGTATGAGGTTGCTTTTTTATGCGGGTGGCCAACCCCCTTGTTATTCATCGCTCCCTTCAAAGTGTAATGTAATCAAGGTTATGGAATGATGTGAGGAAATAATGAAGATAATGAAGATAATGAGAACATAAAGAAGAACATATATCTCATATCTGAAATAAAGAATAAAGCTGTTTACTGAGTGATGTTCTCCAACCTTGTAGAATGTAAGACACGTGACTTCAGTAGCCGGAGCAACTGCCAACAATATTCACATGGATTTGTTATATAACTAGTTATAGTGGTTCCAGAAGCATATTATATATTCTTGATAGTTTGTATCAGGTTTGATTTGAATGGATTTTATCAGGCCTCAGAAG